CATGCGATCACAAAAATAAGCAGTTGACATGGCTGCTTCAGGCAGCTGTTTCGCACAGACAAGAGCTAAAAGCGCGGCGCACACTGACACACTCAATACCTGGGTCGCCCGCTTAACCATAATATTACTGAAAGGTTTCTGGTAGATATGTCTTTCGGTTAACTTTGGCGCCAACCGCAGTCGCATCTTATGTGTGGAGTGGTACAGTTTCACAATATCTGCCCAGTCCACAATCTCATTTTTGATATGAGGCCTGTAGGCGTGCCGGTTGTTCCGAGTAGTCTTCACTAAATGGGGAACATTGTAAATGAAGCAAACGCGTTCACTTTTTATGAAAAACAAGGGCTGCGCCACAGAGACACCAAGCTGATTTGCTAAGCTTAACATTGGAAGACCCTTGGTCACAAATTACAGTTTTAACTGTAATTCCAATGTCTTGCAACTGCTCAGTGAGTGAGAACAACAGGTTCCGGATTACGGTAGATGGCATAGATGTGAGCCCAATCGTATAGGCGACTGGTTGAACCCATCTCCAGGAAACTCTGGAGAGAGGGATAACCAGGGCTCTGTCGGCAATCGTTAAGGTTCGTTCGCAGCCATCATCCGTAAATTCATGAACAACATCTTGTGAGAGGTCATATGACAAGTTTTTTTTTAACACTATCTTGTCGAAGATGAGAGAACAGACGCGATCGCACTTACTCCATGATTGTGTTTTTGTAAAGATGGATGACATAATGCCTGGTATAATTCCAGGTGTCATTTTGACATCCGGCAGCCATCTTCTTAGTATGCGCTGACTAGGAACAGTGAGATAATGAGACAAAAAACGGTATGCTCGCAGCCCACGGAAGTTGAGATGAAGAGAAAACTATTTCAACCATAACGGGTATCGTTTTCCCTTGCCCTTGGATTTTAATTTAACATGGCTTGACAGTAGATGAAATACCTCGTCTTTCACGTGAGGGCAAATGATGTTGAGAGCTTCCGAAGCTGATCGAGGCATATTCTTCTCTTGCTTGAGCAGCCTTGCGATAGTCTTCCGGTACTTTCAAACCTTGGCCTGGAGACGCCTTATGATGTCCTTCGGTCTCGACGCAAAACTGCGCAGAGGAGGCGTAGAAGTACCTGAAACGGATAAATAAAATAATGAAATCAAAGCAGGTAAGCAGTTCTGCTTACAACCAGCCCAGTCAACATTACATTACAGTGACATAATCTGCAAGCAGATAGTATGCCCCTAAACTACAGACAAATAGAAATCATGGGAAACTGGGCTTTTGAAGCTATGTTGGCTAAATTTACAAATTTCCACCCTATGCCTTGACACCACAGTACATAAGGTGTATTACAGGTTTTGCATGAAAAGCCCATCACCGGAGAAGAAGACAAACTAATATCCACCTTGACACACATGAATTTTAGTTACACGAGTAGTAGCATATGGGCACACAGGTGAACAAAAGAAATGGGACACTTACAAGCTCCAACTGGTTCAGAGGAGGACCATGTGGACAGTGTCATCGATCGGAACTCCAAGGACGAACTGCAAGATGGGGCTGTAGCCTCCATAGGGTCTGCGCCGCACGGTGGGGCTGTCGCTTCCATGGAGTCTGGAAAAATCTGTCTATTAGACGCAGGCTGTTGCTTCCACCACAAGTCCTTCCTCACCATGGGCAGCGGTTCAGAGTTCTTTGGGCCGGAAGCTGGAGGCTGCACCGCATGACAGGGCTGAAGTCTCCATGGGGTCTGTGCCGCACGGTGGGGCTGTCGCTTCCATGGAGTCTGGAAAAGTCTGTCTGTTAGATGCAGGCCATTGTTTCCACCACAAGTCCTTCCTTACCATGGGCAGCAGTTGAGGGTTTTTCGGGCTGGAAGCAGGAGGCTGTACTGCATGATGGGGCTGTAGCCTCCATGGGGTCTGCGCCGCACGGCGGGGCTGTCACTTCCATGGAGTCTGGAAGAACGTCAATTAGACGCAGGCTGTTGCTTCCACCACAAGTCCTTCCTCACCATGGGCAGCGGTTCAGGGTTCTTTGGGCCGGAAGCTGGAGGCTGCACTGCATGACAGGGCTGAAGAGAGAGAAGTGTTGAAAAGAAAGGAAGCCTGGAACTTATTAGACCGGGCTGAAGTCTCCATGGGGTCTGCGCCACACGGTGGGGCTGTCGCTTCCATGGAGTCTGGAAGAACGTCAATTAGACGCAGGCTGTTGCTTCCACCACAAGTCCTTCCTCACCATGGGCAGCGGTTCAGAGTTCTTTGGGCCGGAAGCTGGAGGCTGCACCGCATGACAGGGCTGAAGTCTCCATGGGGTCTGTGCCGCACGGTGGGGCTGTCGCTTCCATGGAGTCTGGAAAAGTCTGTCTGTTAGATGCAGGCCGTTGTTTCCACCACAAGTCCTTCCTTACCATGGGCAGCGGTTGAGGGTTTTTCGGGTCGGAAGCAGGAGGCTGTACTGCATGATGGGGCTGTAGCCTCCATGGGGTCTGCGCCGCACGGCGGGGCTGTCACTTCCATCGAGTCTGGAAGAGTCTGTCTATTAGATGCAGGCTGTTGCTTCCACCACAAGTCCTTCCTCACCATGGGCAGCAATTGAGGGTTCTTTGGGCCGGAAGCTGGAGGCTGCACTGCATGACAGGGCTGAAGTCTCCATGGGGTCTGCGCCGCACGGTGGGGCTGTCGCTTGCATGGAGTCTGGAAGAGTTTCATCTATTAGAAGTTAGGTTGTGAAGCCATAGAAGCAGTATTGTGTTTAAATGAAGTTTTACACAAGCAATATACTTTTCGTATATGAATAGTTAAACAAATCTTTACCTCAGTATCTAAATATGTCGATGGGCGAACTGAAGGCACAGCAGTTTTCATTAGCTTTGTTCGCCCAGGGTCCATGGAGTCATGCGTTGTGAAGTGACTGCTGCAGACGAAATAGTTCGCATGTAGCTCACTGGACGATTTTCGCAGAAAGTCGTCTCTTTTGGCATACTTCAGCCACGCCTTTGACCTGCAAGGTGTTGCGAAGTTCATTATTTTTTATTTTGTTTCTTTGTTCAAAATAAAGTATTTGACCACAATGGTTTGGATATTGTGGTTTCTCATGGAGGTGATAAGCAAACTAATAGTGCTTCAGAAGGTTGTAGTTATTTATTGACTGCACACATATACTGTTTTACAGACTGGTTAAAACGTGTGCAATGCTACAAAAAGAAGTGTAACTTTTTTCTAGGGGTTCGGTAGTTTTATACCAGTGCTGACAATGGGCATCAGCTAGTTTTAGTACCTTGCTCATTTATAGAAACATTAAAAATCTTGCAGTCTCAATAAAAAAGAACACCCAGTTGTGCTTCCTTTGCATGTCATGTTAATTCACCACGTAGCAACGAAGTTGTAATTCAGTCTGCCTTGTAAAGCTGGGAAGCAAGTCCACCACAATCCGGTTATCATGGAATGGAATATATTTTAAAACTAAATTTAGTACTAACAGAAGTAAAGCATATTTAAGATTGGACATGAATTTTGATTAAACATTCAGCTTTCTCTCCGGTTTTCATTAGAACTATGCATCCAGTACATTGTTGAAACAAAGGACAACCTGTCGTCTCGTAAAACTCGGAAGAACTTTGTTCCTGGCTTCTTGCGCGCAATTTTGCTGGAAAACCAAATGGTTTTCCAGCAATGTGGAAGATTTCGGGGGGGGGGGGGAATGCCGGGTCCCATGCGCCCCCCCCCCCCCCCCCCCCTGGCTACGTGCCTGAATGGGTATATTTCCAACTGGAACCAATTGGCATTCTTCCAACTGGAACCAATCGGTATTCTTCAAAGGGTTTACTACGGTTGATCGAATGCCATTTCATCGAAGCACGTCTTAGAGAATGGGCACGTTTTATCGAAGCACGGTTAAGAGAAAGCAGAGCCTCAGTTTAGAGAAACGCCGTTTATCGAAAAGGGGCTGCTTTTAAAAAAAAGGTTTTCCTACTTCTCGTTAGTGTCACTGGTGCGCGTATTAAGCCATGCCATGCCCCCCCACTGCGTTCCCGCCGCTTCGCCGGCGGCAGTCTGAGACGGCCTATTACAAAAATGTTAACTCACCTGATTTACCCGTACATGCCGCTTTGCGGCCGGATTCGCTAAAAGGAGGCTCATCGCCATTTTCGCTATAAAGGGATGCAATAAACCAGGGTCGGTAAAAAGGCATTCGCTAAAACGAGTTTCTCTAAACCGCATTCAACTGGAACCAATTGGTATTCCTCCAATTGGGAGTCCCAAAACCCAACTGGTTTTGGCAATTGGTACCAATTGGAACCAATGGGTATTTTTAGCTGGGTCAAGACGGGTTCGTCAAACAGAACAAGAGGCAACACCCCCCCCCCCCCCCTTCCCTGGAGCGAGTGCTCTGCCGCCATTCGCTCTCAATAACTGCCCATTTCAGTGCTGCGCTGCCAATGGACCTTTTTTAGAAACATTGGTTCAAGAGTAAATGGTTCCAGTTCCCTCTTTCTCTTCCTTCTGACCGAGCAGAGAGGGAAGATGGTTTTGTTGTGTCGACCTCGTGGCAGAAGACTACGTACGATGGGGACACAGGCGAGTTTGGGGGAGCAGTATCTAGGTCACAGCGCCTCAATGGGTGAACAGGATGCGGCCGACGTTTTGGGTGTGGAACGGGTGGGAGAGGCCTTGAGCACGCATTGTTTTCTTGCCAGTTAGCCTCGAACCCAGTCGCGTGTCTAGGTGGCAGCACATATTCGCCAGAGGTCCATTGCTCCCAAGGGCCGCAAAAGACGCAAGACCTCGCGCACTGGCACCTTTGACTTCTTTTTACAAAGTTCCATTCTGGAGAACGAAAACGCGGTTTTTGCGTTTTCAGATAACTGGCTTCTATGATTTCGAGCACCAAGATGGTTCAAGTGTTCTTACCCTGAAGCGTAACTTCTTGGGGCTTTTGCCATGTGCGAGCCGCAAGCCTATTGCATGCGACAGCAAAGAGGAAGAGAAAACTTCAGAGTAAACATTAACTGACATCTTTTATTCCTTCTGCAAGTTCAGTGGTAGACAGTCATAGAATGTGTCCCTTTTCTTGGAGTTCAGTTACCTCACAGAGACGGAGGGGCTAGAGTTTGTGATACACAGGTTAAAGACCCAGATTGTGCTTGTTTCTTGAACTAGTCCAGGCCTAGGTTGTTGACACTTGCAAGTCTGACCACTTTGCTTACTCTTTTGTTGGGCTTGTGCTTCAGAAAGACCACACAAGCTATGCCTTTATTGCCAGTCGGAGTCGAGTTGAAAACTAAATACAAGCAAATTTCTTGTTCAATTTCTCTTGAATCACACAACATTGCAGAAATCTGGAGACCTCTCATATTGCCTCCCTTTAACTCCTTCCAAGGCAACCCAATGGCTGACACCTAATCGCGTGACAAATCAAGGACACTCACCGTACACCGCGCCCAAGAATCACTCGCACAAATGCATCATAAATAAAGGTGTCCAAACAGATTACAGATAAAAACAAAAACTAAAAGAACAGAAAAAAACAAACAAAAAAACAGAAGTTTCTGGGTTATGTACAAGGACTAGTTGCACGTCGAACAAAACGGAGACGTCGCAGGGGTCGGTAGAGGGGCAGCTGATATGCATAGTCAATTGCAGAAACACAACGCGCCTCCACCCCCTCCGACACAATTAAGCCGCCCGGCCGTGGGTACACACCTAAACAAACGCAACAACTGCACAACACCAACGAAAACAAAGAATGACGACACGTTGGGTAGGGGCGAAACAGATGCCCACGACTGAACTTTTGAGGATGCAGCTGCCGTTAAACGACGGAAAAAAAAACCGGCAGCGACGAGAAGAGACGCACGCTGAAGTCTGCACAAACTGGCTCTTTGAACTCATAAGGCACAAAAAGGCACACCTGCTCTAAGCACTGAGGCATCGCTTAGGTGCCAAGTATACTACGGAGTGCCAAACTACCGTCCCGTCAGCAAAATTCAAACGTCGCTTTTCCTTTTTTTTTTTTTTTTTTTTTTGTGTGTGACCACATGCAGGCAACATTCATTGTTCTCGTCGAGCGTTTTCCTGAGAGGGAGCTGCATCGATCCGTGGAGCTACTGGGAACTTGCATGTCTCCTTTCGCTTTGGAAGAAGGCGATGGATGAGAGCACTGTGGCGCAAACCGTTCCGTTTGTTAAAAACTCCAGTTCGCACCGCTGACCCAGAATAAGTGTGTAGGTGCTGCAAACTGCCGTGGCATTCGTACCCTTAAGAGAGAGATGGAGCACTTCGTAAATCTTGGTCAGCAAACGTGGGATTAGGGTTAGATGAAGCGTGAATTTGTGAACCGTCATCAAGATTCGTGCTTCTTTCGCTGAAACTGAGGGTTCTCTCACGCGCACAACAAAGAGGAGAAATCAAAGGCTGCCATCGAAGACAAACCTTTTGGCAGGCATAACGTCTACCGCAAAGTTCCACCTCTCTAACGTGGCGCTCCTGAGCTTCCGGCTCCAACTTGCAGCCTTTCAGGCAAGAAGCAAAGGCACCGATGAACTGTTCGAAGATAAAATATATCCGAGCTGGGAGAAAGGGACTTTCCAAGATGCCCCAATTACATCCGACAAACGCGACGGGTCGGGTCGTCATCTAGCAACCTAGATGCATTACTCAAACAAAGAAAATAGAGATGTAGACGCAGTCTCAAACGCAAGTTGCGAGTGCAGACTTCTTTAGCTCAAGAGCAGTGTACGCTGTCCCGTACATAGCATACAACACTCGAATCAGCCCACTGTCAAAACCATTCGTCCAACATAAACTCTTTGTCTTGCGTCGCAGCCCGTCTGCAGCACCAAAAACAAATTAAGCGAGAGCGAACCAGAGCTAGCGAAGAAAGCATTTCCACCTCCCGTAGACTCTCGAACGTGAAGTGCTACACTTTCCTAGCCGCCGTCAGTGCAGCAACGGTCCAATTACAGTTTGCGCCACCAGACGGTGCCGCTCACGTGACGAGTCGGTCGGCCCCCCCGTCCCCCTGCAACACGCAAAGGCTGGTCCACAGATCTGCGCTTGAGTCTGACCGACTGTGTTGCATCCTCGGGCGATTGCTTACGATGAAGGGACACACTAGTGCCACCCGTCAAGTGGCCCTAGAAAACTTCCAATTCGCCTAGGCGGAGCGCAAGTTCGTCCGCTCCTTGCACAGGGGTTGTGGTGATGCCAGAACACAGAGCTATCCTTGGCCGATCGAAAAATATAGTGGGTAGAAATTAAGACATCTAGCATTGAGGTCTGCCCACTACCCTTTCAATCAAAGCCAATCAGAGCTCGGCGTCATTCTGACGTCACCGTAACTCTTACGCAAGAAGCAGACGACTTGCTCTCCGCATACGTTTTCTCGTATTTCTTCTTCTGTTCTTGCACATTATTTGTCTATGGTCTCGAAATAATTATCACAGTGTTATGCAAGTGACATTTTTCGTAGAGAGTGTACAGATTTCATTTCACAAACACAGAGAACCTTCGGTTAAGTTTATACGCAGGACGGAAATGTTCTAGGGCTGTCTGCTAGATGGCACCAGTGTGCCGGTTGCAACAAGGGGGTCAAGATGGGAGCGGACCTCGACAAATCGTAAGCACCGAGAGAAAGAACGAGAAAGGGAGCAACAGTAAAGTTGAGAAAGAAAGCAGAAAACATTGGTTAGACACGTTCGTGTTGTCGCGACGGGTTGAAGTTGTTCGAGTGCTTGCCAAATTGATATGTTTTCATACGGCGCAAGCCGCCGGCGTTTTTCTACAAAATAAAGCTAGAAAAACACTAAATGGACAACAGGGCATTAAGTGGTTAGAGGTTTCTTTTTACCGCAAAAATGAACCATGCATCGCCAAACGCTCGTTCTCTGCCCAAATGTACCACTTGCGGCCCGAACGAGGCAAAGTTTCAGCACGAGCCAAAGTTTCAGCACTAACCGTTACCTCATCCTTAAGTTAAAAGTTAATTTTATTTAATTTTAAATGGGAAAATGGCGGCCACCAGAGCTCTCGAATATATGGAGCTCTAAGGTACCAGTTACCAAAATGAAATTTCAATAAAATCACATATAGCTTTTGAATAAGGAAAAGGTTTTGTTCTTAAACTTTGACATCTCGTTTGGTCCGCCAGTCCTACATTTGGGCGGAGAATGAGCGTTCGGCGATGCATAGTTTATTTTTTACAATAAAAAAAAAGCACCGTTAATTCCTTTTTTGATGCACGGTAGATACAGATTTTGGAAGCTATGTTTTCCTCCTTCGAAGATATCAAATCGTCGGCAGCAATACGGTCGCATCGAGGCCACTGAAGTCTGCGTCCATTCGCCGCCGCTCCGAAGCTGCCGAGATGCGTGAGACCTTTCCTTTTAGGTTCAACTTTAAGTGTACGCCTTCAACGCGGTCGGTCATGCTGCTATGCCAATGTGTAAACCAGCCTTCGGCCTCCTAGCAAGCTCAGATCCGAAAACTGCATGTTTCCGTGGACCCCTCAGTCCGGCGTGTCGATGGCCAGTGCCGCCACGACCGGCCGGGGCTCTGCCAAGATGGAGGGCCGGGGCCTCTGGCGGGGCGCGATCTTGACCTCGGGTGCCACGGTAGTCTCCCGGGGCGGCGACCCATCCACCTCGTTGTTGTGCAGGCTGTACGAGATGTTGCCGTACTCTTGAAGCAGGGGACAGGCTCCCAGGAGGAACTGGCAGAAATCCTTGCGGATGCCGAACCACCCTGGTTACGTAGAAGCAGACGGAATTAACCGTGGGGGACAGCGTCGACCACATCAATCGAGGGGATCAAACTATTGGGGGGGGGGGGGAGGGCTTTGACTGGCCTCTTTTCCGTGGGGTGGAAAACAAAGTGGTCGGTCTGTAGGGCGGAAGGTGTTTGTGCTAGGTTGCAATTGCAACTTTAGGTTGTGGACAGGGGTAAATAAATGCCTGTGCTTAGTAGCAATGCAAGATTCTTTCCCATGCCCTATTTATTCTAAATCTAGAGGTACACTGTGAAGAGGTTTGACCTTAGTGGTTTTCCTTCATTTATTTGTTCACTAATAATTTGTATTTGAACATTTTCTAGTATCTACTAGGCAGTGTGCAAGGCTAGACAGAAAGGTGGGGACCCTTATGCAGGGGCGCCTGCTAGCCCCGCCACAGAGAGGATTAAAACCTATGCAGTAATGTGATTGGCATAGGGCATTTTGAGCGCCTTTCGGAGCAGTGAAAACAATGTTTGGAGCAGAAAATCTGGCCTTTGGAGCAACCAAAACAGTGTTTTGGAGCAGCCAAGACAGTGTTTCGGACCAGCAAAAGTAAAATTTGGAGCAAACATTCTTAGAAAAATAAAAGTATTTGTTTTAAGTGCTGTCCAAATGAATTGCACTTTGTGTTGTGTTCTGATGTGATATGTTGTAACAAAACTCGCTGCTTGTGTTTTTACTGCTGAGACATCCCACAAGTATACAGTGCTGTAGGCGATGCCGAGCAATTCCAAAAGACCCATGTGCCACCGTTTTATTGGTTCCCAACGTGCCAGATTTTAGTCAAAAGTAAGCAAACGCAAAACAATGTATTGCAAGCGTCCCGGGTGGTGCCTTTGTCGTGCAATCATGTTCGCATGCACGTGATGGCAACTTCGGCAGGCTTGCAGTTGCACATGCTTTGTAGCACGAGTGGAGGCGACGGCTGTTTGACACAGATTCCCAAAATTGTATGAAAAATGCAACTGTCAAGCATACGACAAACAACAGTCCAGCGGCGCGTGCTTCCCAGGCCAGCAAACAAGATACAAGCTAAGCACACCCCCCCCCCCCCCCCAAAAATTTTTTTTTTTTTTTTTTTGTGCTTTAAGGCGTGTTAGGGTTAAAAAGTTCTTGGAGCGCTTTGTGCAGCAATTAAACTCCAGACAAACAAACGTGCTGTGCAGGTTCAGCATGCAGATATTGCCTTTTTTTGCTCTAGCTCACTTCTCTTCACCAACTTTTTGCATAAAAACGGACGGAAAACGCTTCTTGCAGGAACTTTCACTGGAGATCAGTACGAATGACTGGAGCGTGATATGTTTATGAAATTTTAATCTACAAGGTTTTGCGGCACAACTTATTCACCCGTGTCTCACCGGTGATTTCAGAAGGCGCGTCCCAACATCAGTGGTAACTCGCGGCGCGTACGCTTAGAAGACGGGGGTTGGCAGCCTCCCCTTCTACCACACATGTTTTGGCGCCAAAATGGCCGATCAAAGCTAAAATTGAACAATACAGTGGACGCCATCGAATGCAATACTCCGGAACACATACAGTGATTCAAGTTCTACGACGTCACTAGGCGGAAATCGAGGGACCAGTTTTTTGGATGTGGTAAGTACATCAGTCGGGTACGCATTTCAGGACCCATAGCAGAGCTGTACCGGATAATCCCATCGGGTCAACATTGGATCCCCTGTGTGCTCCTTTGTGCTCTTTGAAGCGGAGCTGTTGCCCTCATAAGGTTTTCTTTCTTTCTCTCGCTTGGTCACTTACAAGTAGGAATGTTGCAAAAATGCCGAGGTTATAGAGTACTGCCGGGTTCAAGTTCAACATATAAAATAGCGCAAAACAAGACAGTGACACAAAGTGAACAGAACAAGCGATATTGATCTCCGCGCTTGTCCTGTTTACATCGTGCACCTCTTTTTTTGCGATGGATGAACCAACTAGCCCAGCAACATACCTTACCACGTTCAACCTTTTCAAAACTTTAATGCAAAGATCGACTGAAGTTCGACTGCTATGTGCGTGTGCATAGTAGTCATAATTGAGTCCCAACTTTTGTTGAACTTGCTACTTGGGAACAGGCTGGGTGGTATCTTCAGCCCCAATAAACACAGAGCACCACGTTCAGAAAAACTTCTATAGACGCTTTCACGGAGTCAGTTACTGGAGCTGCCACCAGTCGGCGCGCCCTGTGCGCGCTCTCCGGGCCGCCATAGTCGACCCTCAGTTTCTCGCCATGTGTGCTGCGCCGGCCGCCACTGGAGCCTTGTTTTCGTGTTTTTTTACGTTCCACGTTGAAATCGTGTTTTCTTTAGGTCTTTTCGATATTTCGGGTTTTCATTTAATCATTTGATATCCATATTTGAGCATAGCTCTTGTATTTTCTTATTTATGGTATGGAATCGGACAGCGAATGGATCGACGATGCAAGATTATGGCCTAGGCTTCAGAGATCACGTAAGTTTATCACATTCTTTCGTTTTTGTCGCTAATAAAGGGCAGTCAACACCATTCCGACATATGGAAAGTTCAACTGACGCAGTAAGGCTATTGCAGTCATGCTTCTCGCTGCATGCGCGCGCTTTAGACATCATTTTCGTAAGTAAAAGCCAAACTGCAAGCGAGCGACGACACGAGCGATGGCGACAACCACGAGAGTCAGCGACGAACGACGGAGATTTCTCACTGTCACCCGTCGCGTCGTTCGGTTTTTGGATTTCTAGAAAACGTCGCTCACCGTCTTGGTCGCTCGCTCCCGTCACTTCCATGCGGTTTGCCAAGTTGCGCGATTGACCGAGCGACAGCGAAGCGGGTCGCCGTCACTCGCCTCGTTGCTCGCATACGGTTTATAATTAATATCGAGGCGCCAATGGTTCAGTGCTCTGTGCATCGAAATTAATTAAGTTTAAACCGCATGCAAGCGATTTTGCAAGCGACGAGACAAGCGACGGCGACCCGCTTCGCTGTCGCTCGGTCAATCGTGCGACGAGGCAAACCGCATGAAAGCGACAGAAGCAAGCGACCAAGACGGTGAGCGATGTTTTTTAGAAATCCAAAAACCGAGCGACGCGATGGGCGACAGTGAGAAATCTTTGTCGCTGACTCTCGTGGTTGTTGCCGTTGCTCGCTAAAGCGCTTACATGCGGTTCTGCTTTTGCTTACGGAAACAATGCCTAAAGCGTGCACATGCAGCGAGAAGCACGACTGCGATAGCCTTACTGCGTCAGTTGAAAGTTCCATATGTCACAAAGGTGTTGACTGCTTTTTATTAGCAACAAAAACGAAAGAATGTGATGAACTTACATGGTTTCTAAAGCCTACGTCACAATTTTGCATCGTCGATCCATTCGCTGTCCGATTCCGTTCTATAAATAAGAAAATACAAGAGCTATGTTCGAATACAGATATCAAATGATTAAATGAAAGCCCAAAATATCGAAAAGACCTAAAGAAAACTCACAATTTCAACGCGCAACGTAAAATTACACGAAAACAAAGTTTTGGTGGCGGTTGGCGCAGCACACATGGCGAGAAACTGAAGGTCGACTATGGCGGCAGGGTCATGCGACGTCAAGATGGCGGCGCCCATGAAATGTTGCCTGAAAGGGTCTATATCAGGGGTGGCCAGGCTGACCCAGCCGAAGAGCCGCAAACAAAACCACGGAACTTCCAAGAGCCGCGGAAGGGGGGGGGAGGCAAGGGGGGGGGGAGGCAAGCTTTTGTCGAGAGCAATAAACAATATTCGAATTACTTTCAATCTATCCGAGCCCAAACTGTACGTAAGGTAGCAGATAGCACTGCCAAACCGCAGCCTGTCTTTCGATTTAAAGCGCGTTTCATTTCTCTTTTAGAGCGCAGCTCTTAGGGGCCCGTTCCCGGCTTGAGCGGCGTCTGCGTCGGCGTCGGCGTAACCGCAACTCTCGTAACCCTCGTGAGGGTTACGAGGGTTAATCTCATGAGGGTTACCCTCACGAGGATCACGAGGGCCACGAGGGTTACTTACCCTCGTAACCCTCACGAGGGTTACGAGGGTTAGTTACCCTCAAAAGGGTTACCTTCACGAGGGTTACCCTCACGAGGGTTACCCTCACGAGGGTTACTGACCCTCGTAACCCTCGTGAGGGTTACGAGGGTTAGTTACCCTCAAAAGGGTTACCTTCACGAGGGTTACCCTCACGAGGGTTACTTACCCTCGTAACCCTCACGAGGGTTACGAGGGTTAGTTACCCTCAAAAGGGTTACCTTCACGAGGGTTACGCTCACGAGGGTCACGAGAGTTACCCTCACGAGGGTCACGAGAGTTGCCCTCACGAGGGTTACTAGGGTTACCCTCACGAGGGTCACGATGGTTACCCAGGTCACGTGACCCCCCGTTGACGTCATAGCCACTGATGACGTCATCAGTGACGTCACTGATGACGTCACCGGCATCCGCATCGTCATCGTCATCATCACTGGCGACGTCATCAGTGACGTCACTGATGACGTCATCGGCATCGTCACGTGGCCCCAGGTCACGTGACCCCCCCCCCCGACGTCACGTGACGCCCCAAGGTCACGTGACTCACACAAGGTCACGTGACTCCCACAAGGTCACGTGACCTCCGCCCCCAAGGTCACTTGACCCACCCCCCCCAGTACCCTTCCCTCCTCCTCCTCAAGAGCTGCGCTCTAATTCGGCGTTACAGGGAGTTGTAAACGGCTTTCATTTTTTTGGGGAAGTGCTCGTGTGACCAGGGAAAGGGGGGAGGGGCTAGGGTAGGAAGCAGCGAGCCGCACTTGTACACGCGAAGAGCCGCATGCGGCTCGCGAGCCGCAGCTTGGCCACCCCTGGTCTATATTGTCTAAAAAGTATTTCTAATGTACCGAGCTAAACGAGTGATCTCGTTATTGCTTGCTGGAAGGCGCAACCAAGGACGACCAACGAAGAGCACGCACGAGGAATGGATACGAGAAGAGACACCGAGGCTACGTACAGTGGTTGCCTCCCTTGGAGCCAAAGGACAGGAAGATGAGGACGAGAAAGGTGACGTAGAGCGGGGTGCACGTCTCCGTGTAGCCCAGGCTCTCTTCGCTGTCTAGCTTGTTGGACAACAGCACCTGCAAACGGAGTGAGGCAGCGGTTGGAGGCACAGTCTCGTTACAGCCTCCTTACTAATCGGGTCAAAGCAAACTTCCGTTACATCAATATCCCGTCGTGAAGTGGCTTCGGTCTGTCTCAATGCATCACTGTTGCCATATCAGGTTTAACCAAATTCAGTCGTTACAACCAATTATCGTTGCATCTAGACTCTCGAAACTGAAAGCAGCAGATTGTTATAAGTGGATTGCACAGTACAGCCATATTAGATTCTGTCAAATTGCAATCATAGCAATACCTAGGGCAGCCAAAAAAAACGAGAAACTTAGCGTTAGTGTTTTGACGGTGCTAAGTTAAGTGTGGCAACGCTGGTTTACGCCGTAGATGAAAAACCCAGCCACTGCTAGCCTGGGGCCTTCAATGGCTGCATCACGCAGTGCCGACGTGCAACTGCGCTCTGGTAGGATGCTTATCCTGATCGGAACAGGCAGGGGTGGGGATCGAAACAAGCATCATTGGGTCCTGCAGCACGAGCTTTCGCTCGCATCCTCGGCCGCCAATTCATTACGGTTGCAGCATTGTTGGTTGGCTGTCAAGTTCCAGTAAGCTACATGCTTTTCAAAAATCTCTAGTGTAATATCCAGAGATAGCCCACCTAAAAATGAAAGTAAATCGGGTGAAAAAAAGGAGTGTGCTAACTTTCGCCAAGTCGAAAAATGCTAGTTTTTTTAATTTTGCGCTTTACGAAACTCGCAATCGCAGGGAGGGGCGATGAACTAAAGACGACTCTCCTTTCCCAATCAGCAACGTTCGCTCATCTCCCGCCGTGGCTAAGTAGCACCATTTCTGCTGTGGTCACCATTAGCCAGGGCTCCACAATTACTAGATGTAGGCTACCTTTCGGTGCATTTGAAGAAATAGCAAATCGGGCCAAAAATAAGTGAAGGGTTTTCTTTCGGGGCTGGGGCATCTATCCAGATATTACGGTAGTGTGTTCCCACATTTTACTATGGCAAAAGAAAGATACGAAGCAGCAAGCAGAGAGGGAACTTTGCACGCACGCACCAGAAAGACGAGCAATGGTCCCACAATCATGCTGTACGACACCGCCGAGTGGAGGCTGGTGCGCCGCTGCTCGTGGCTCACTTCCGGCGTCCGCAGCAAGATGCTCGCAAAGATGATGGCGTACAGGACTCCGATCACCGCCAGGCACATCACTATCCACAGCGGCACAAACACCACCTGCACGCACACCGTCGGAAACATATCATAGCCGCTGGAGAACAAGTGGTGCTCGCAGCACTAAAACATCGGTGGACCTTTTTCAAGAGGAGTTCTGTGCATGCGCGGGTTCCTCACCGCGGCGGTGAAAGCTCGAACTATGACTGCCATCTGGAAGGGAAGTCGCACTACCTTTCCTCCTTCCACCATGATGGACAAGTCGCGGAGGAGGCAGGAAAGGTAGCGCAACTCCCCTTCCGGACGCCGATCGCAGTTTGAGATTTCGCCCCTCAGTGTCGTCTTTCCGTGAAAAAAGTTCTGTTGCAGTAGTGTGCACCGCCGCAAGATTGCAAACGTTAGAGTTCGAAGAGCGGAGCACAGCCAGGTCTTTGGTGTTCCGTCCAGGGTACGAATGATCTGGCCTTCTAAGAAATTTAAGTCCGATGTATTGTTTCGTCTGGTATTCTGCTGTCTTGTGGGGCGAGGTCTTGCAGTCCTAGGGACGAGTCATTTACTACTGGCTGGAAGGAACGTAAAAAGTATGGCGTAATTTGCGTGTTATTTGTGCATACCTTAACTCCTGCTTGTGGGACATTTCAATGCTTCTTGGTTGGGGGAAAGAAGCTTCCCAGTCTGTGTAATGGCTCGTCATCTAAATCATTAAACTGAACCACAAGAACAGTGTGAGACACATCTAGGATGAAGAAAAATTATGGCCGCCTTCTCGGAAATTTACCCGTGCAGGTACTGAATTTTGACTGCAGCCCTTTAGCTGTGGGAGGAAGAAAAGTAGGCAACTTATCAATTATGTGTCTGGTCAAACCGTGGCACAATTTGTGCTAACAGAACCTCCTTATCTCTGCTCCGCAACTTCAACAGGTGATAGCGGCTCGAGTACCTGACCTGCAGCAACAAGGAGAGTGGCAATGACAATGACGCCATCGCCATGAGGATGACTTGATAATCATCTTTTAGCCGATAAGTGTGGCCCGATGTACATAACGTGACACAATCAATGCAAACGAGAAATTGTCTTCGTCTTTTTACTCTCTTAGAATTCAAATGTCGCCATCAAAACTGCTAGAAGGGCTCATCTGGGGCAGCAATCTAGGCGGTAAAATTTGGTTCTCGCCAAAGCCGCCTCGAAGTAAAACGCGAAAACGAGTTTACATTGCGCTTGCGCCAACAGTGTGGTACAGACCTCGACTTTCCTTCGGCGAATGGCCAACCTCGGTTTAAAGTAGTGCAATGACTCAAGTACCACCATCTCTCAAAATCCCCGTCAAACAAAGCATGAATTACCAAAGGCGTCGGGGAAGCAATCAAGTCACCACACCTAACTCGCAACTAACTTTGTGGCTCTGGCATGAAAAATGTTTTATGTAACTAACAAAAAAAAACAACTAAAGAAACAAATTTTTACCAGTTTCAATGCACTTGTTGGAAGAGACGATGCAAATTCTTCAGTTCTTACCAAATGAGGTTAAGAAGGGACGTGAATCTTTGGTGTCAAAAAAAACGTTAAAAATAGTGTTTTTGGGAAATGGGCATTCTTAGACCTACAGCTACTTTGGTCTCTTATCTTGTGGATCAATATTAGTGCCATAATAATTTATAATACCTATGCAGGCTGAATTTGCACTACAGCTTATGCTAAAATGGCATTTTGTCAAAGCACAAATTTTGGGCTCCTTGCAGATTTGCAGGAAGGATAGCTCAGCATCTAGGGCAAAGAAAAGTAAAACTTTATTTGCAATGTGTAGCTAAATATGTGAGACATACAACGTTAAGCATAGATTCTTCTCTATAAGACTAGAAAAATGTTTAAACTTATCCATTGGGTGTTGTAAAATCACTAATAATAGTTCTATCTCAAAAGTACATCAACTTTAAAGGGGCACTGACACCCCAAAGGTCGTATTTATTTTTATTGTCTAAAACGATGCAAGTTGCAGTCATAGACCTGCAAAAAAAAAACCGCATCGCAAAAAACAATTTTCTTGCGCGCGCGCACGCCTTTTTATTTTTGGCGTTTGATTTTCCCGCCTCTCGCCTCCTCGCTTCTTTTGATCGGTGACGTAAAGAATCATGAAATTTAGAAGCTTTCTAGGCGACATCTCTATAACATTTAATTACGGCAATCCTAAAACATGTTTTTTTAACGCAATTGCGAACGCACTACATCCTTTCTTTTTGAAATGCCAAAAATCGCGAGTTCGTTGTGGTGCCGTCTCCTGGATTTGTATCCTCCAACGGAAAACAGGCGACACCGCTCAAAACCGGTCCGCCGCAACGCCTGCGCTCGCTCCTTTCCTCCTCGCTTTGGGTCGCCATGGCAACAGCAGGGAGTGGTGAAAAAAAGTGGACTCTCAGGACTCCGCAATTTTTGACGTCAAGGCACTGGCGCCGATCACGCAAGAACTTCGAATTCGGCATTTGAAAATTGTTTTTTTACTTCACAAATACTGAATTCCCAAATTTCAAATTTTGAGGGTAATGTCCCGGCATCGTTTTCAATCGTTTCGTATAATAAAAAAAAATATGATTTTGATGTGTCAGTGCCTTTTTAAGATGTTGTAAAATCACTAATAATCATTCAACCTCAAAAGTACTTCTAAGATGGCATCGTTCATACTTTTGGTATCTAGCCATGCATCAAACATAATTTTTTTTTAGTAGATGTTTCCCTGCTGTTCCTGAAAACAAAGGCAGGTGAGTTCTATTTATCTCTAAAACTGATTTTAAAGGCTCGAGCTACACCTAAGCACTTTTTACGAGTTGTGAATGTGAAAATATGCACGCCGCTCTTCCGCTCCCTTCTGTCGTCTGCTCTGTCCTTGCGTCGACGGTCGAGTGCGCGTGCTGACCTTGGGCATTCAGCCACTGCTTCGCGAACACGCAGCACCATGGGGTGGCGGTCATTGAAAATTATGCACAGCGGCCAATGGGAGCCTCGTCGACACACGCCAGCCAATGGGACCGAAGCCGAAATCCATCAGCTTTACCCCGCTCCTTTGGGATCGGGGAAACTAGGTGCTGTTGTCTAGGCTTTTGCGTTGTTTCATAGCTGGGAGCTGGCTTCACTTGGAGAAAGGATTTAAGGTGCCGTTTGGCGTGCTACAAACTGATGACGTCGGCTCGCTCCATAGGGCCCCCCCCCCCCCCCCCCCCCCCAGTTAATGCTTTCGCATTAAAAACTGACCAAAAATTTTCAATCGGCAAAAAAAAAAATAAAATGAACAAGCTTGTGCATCTCTATTGGGTACGATCAAGCAATGAGGAGAAAAAATCCAAGACCATAGGGTTTCCCTCTAACCATGTGCTGACAATGATAATAGGAGGATAAGAATCTCAAAGCAGATTCCTAGGAACCCTGCTTTCTGGACAGCATTTGGGTGGAGACGACAACTTTTCTTAGCGCAGTCAGGTGCTCCACCGCACTCGCACTGTCAGAGGTGTTGTGGCAAAGTTCTCAGAGTACACCAAGAGCCTCCTTGGACTCTCGCACAGTGCGACGCGGTGGCCGCTCCTCACACGGACAGTCTTCATCTTCGTCCGAAGCACGCCCGTCGTCACGCAGGACATCCCTGATGATCTCATGGTCACTCGGCTGACCAGCCACAACAACACTGTCATCAATCGCAAGGTAAGTTGCACATCGGCGGGGGGGGAACATCGTCAAAACGGCCGTAGTCGTCTGGGGTCTGCACCGCCTGGCAAGCTTCGGACTGGACAAAGCAGCTGTGCTTCAGACAACTTGCGATAATCTCGGCGAGCGTGTTGTTCCACACGTACGACGAAATGTGGATCGCGCTGAGGAGCGAAACTTTGTATTCTTTTGCAGCATCAATCCCCAGCAACATTTGCTCCAATACGTGCTTCCTGGATCTGCTTTTCATGTACTAAGTAATTCCTTGATAAGTGGGTTGAAGGGCAGCAGCAACGTTCGGAGAGAAACACACAAACTGAATGCACTCCGGTCCCGACACGTTAGAGTCGGCGCTGCAATTATTGGCAAACATCAACACCTTGCGTTTCTTGGTGCGAAAGCGTCGGTCTAGCTGGTGCAGCCAAACTCGAAAAACTTCAGACGTCATCTGGGCCTTCCGACTCAATCGATAGTCCATCGGAAGTCGTTTGAGGTTTCTGAAACATCTCGGCTTCTTCGCCTTTCCAATCACAAACGGCAAGCGCACCTGACCAGTCATGTTTGCGCCGCAAGAATGGTGACCCTTTCTTTACTTCTTTTGCCGCCTGTGCAGGGGTCTCCTTTCAGCGTGATGGTTTTGCCTGGTAGGGCTGTGTAAAACAATGCTGTCTCGTCTGCGTTCAAGATGTTTGGCTCATATGCAGCAAGGTGCTCAGGAAGCTTAATATTCTCCCCGTCATCGATCACATCGCCGTCGACAGCACCTTTCCCTCCACACACGTTTCTGAAGACCAGTCAGTGTCTGTCTTTGAAGAGAGCCAACCAGCCCTCCAATGTTTTGAACGAAAAGGTCATCTTCAGAGCATACTTCTCTGCTTACGCACAGATCAGAGGACCATTCAAGGGCAGGTGTGCATCCTGTGCGCCGACGACCCACTGCAGCAAGGCCTGTTCTAGTTTCGGATGCACCGCCTTCCGCGGCCGCTTTCTTTTCGCGTTAAACTTCTCGCTCCCGAAAGCCCGTAGTATCTTTGCCTCACTGTTCACGTACGTGGCCAAAGTGCTCCTCTCGACGTCGTCTTTCAAGGCCATCAGTATTTCCACTTTCGTTGCTAAATCCTTGGCCTGGTACTTCTGCCACTTCGCTGGCGGCGCCGCCATGGAGGTCGCTGCAGTTGCTGCATGTGACGGCGACGTGCCACGAGCGTGCGAACCAGTGCGCCAAACTTGCGGCGTTCCACAGCAAAATTGGCGTGAAACATGGAAAACCGGAAGCGATGGGAAAACCCAATACCACAAGTGCACCTCGGATGGATAGCAATCATTTCCTTCGGAACGAGTGGTAGCTTGCACCACCTGCTGAACTCATTCAAATTAACCGTAGCGCACCCAACTGTCTCCAGATTAATGAGCATTTGGTGCCATTGACTAATACACGTTTGACGGGACTGGATCGGCAGTCCGATCGGGATCCGAATTAGCGGGGATTTAATTAACGAGGCTTTACTACTTTACTGTATTGCTGCTAAAACCGGAAAGAGTTCCTCAGTCGTCAATCAAGAGAGATAAAGGTTCCTCGAGATCAAAAAGCAGTCTGACACTCAATGCTTCATTACGAAAGGTACAGGAACTCTCTGCCTACTTTCAGTCAGAATTTCTGAAGTGTATGCGCATCCAATCACACGGTAAAACAGAACCAGTGCTTGATACTTGTAATCTACAGTACAAAAGAACCATCCTTGTGTGCTGTAGATTACAAGTATTATGAATGGTCAACTTGCCCAATCCTCCATCTTTAGCAGTGCTTGGTACAGCAGACGACAAACTTACAAAACTGGTCTAAAGAATTCCGTATAAACAGTAAACACATGCTTACCACCCAACTCCACACGATGAACTTGTCTAGCTGCAATGCCAGGAAGATGAACTGCAAGACGTTCACCGAACAAAAGAGTTCCAGCTGCAGAGGTGAGGTAAAAAAAGCATGAAAAAATGTGCAAGCACAATTATGACGAGGACAATGTCCAAAGTCAATGAGTCGCTTCCAACTCAAGTGACCGGCCGTTGCCAGGTAACAAAGATTTAAAATAAGCCGTAAGGATAATAGGGAAGCAAATGACGTGTAAACTTTTGCAAGCATCACCGACTGCGTGCCGCCACTTTTAATCACTGGGCTTTGCAACGCGTCCCGGCCGTGCGCAGTACCTCTCTTGCGCGGAATATCGGACGTCGCTCGCCATCTCTTGCCTGGGAGACAAGTGCTCGAAAGGTGTACAGCTGTTTGAAATATCTTTGTTTCAACAGCTTTTACCATTAGCAGACTGAAATTGAAATGCAACATTGCACAAGACACAGCTTCCTCACATAAGGTCTATGCTTTGAATGACAGCTAAGGGAAACATTCACAGTCGAAGGGACCACGACAAAGTAGCTCATCTGAGAAACCACGTTATTCTTCCCTTTTATGAGATCACTGCGATGTCATTGTGATGTTCCAATGATACATTCAGTTGGCACTGAAAATATATCATGAGCAACTTTCGCTTAATCTCGTTTTGCTACTTCCGAGGCTCCTCACAGTTCCCCGGTATAGAGCTTCTTCCGTTTCGTGTTCAGCAGGCCCGAGTAAACCGACAATCCACTGCCAGGACGTAATCTCGCTTTCAGAAGGAAGTCTACTCTGCTGGCACTTGACTCGTGGCACACCAGGACAAACTCCCACGTCCCTACGCTCCCGCAGGTCGCTCCGAAAACCAAAGGTTGCTGTTTACAGGAAACGAGTGGCAAATGATGAGGTGCCCATAATGATGGGACTTCAAAAAACTGATTAGTGTGATGTTCATGACGTTGAACTCTCTGTAAAGATTGCGTTCGCAAGCTCAAACATTGGCAGCAATTTTTGTTTTTATTACTGCTCTCCATTTGTAAACAGCAATAACTAGCTTTGGCACGTTTTGAAAGAAAGCACATATATGTGAGGACTCGGTTGTAAAAAGCTTTGACCGTTTATGCTGTTCATGACAGATTCATGAAATCGTCAGGATTTTCTTAAATTTCTATCGCAGTTGCGATTTTCAGAATAAAACAAGGTTTCTACTGAACACATCCAACTCATGCTGCAACACCTCCCGCTTATATAAACTCCGGAATTTTGCAAACTGTGTTTTTTTTATATTAGTAGAAAAGAGAGCTAGCATTCATACGAAGTAAGCCTTGCTCCAAATTCTGTTTTCTCCATACCTGTTTCTAATAATAAAACTTTGTTATAGGAGAACTTCGTTATAAGGGAAGTTTGTTATAATAAAAGGTTGTTATAGGGGAAGTTTGCTATACGGGAAGTTTGGCATAAAAAAATTCTGTTATAGGAAGTTTTTTATAAGGGAAGTTTGTTGAAAAGTAAGCCTATCAAGGTGCAAATATTATAAATGGATTGCACACGAAACATCAAGAGCCACGAAAAAAGACCAAGAAGACTGCATCAATGCACACACCTCAAAGGAGCGGTCGTGCTTGACGGCCCAGATGCAGACAGCGATGGATGTGACCGAGATGAAGATAAGTGGGATGAAGACCAGCGTCCAGAGGTGCCGGTCGCTCTGCAGGTTGTCGCAGACGAGCACTTCGAAGACGAGGAGCAGCAGCTGCAGGAAGAGGCTGATGACCATGGCCTTGTAGTGCACGTGCCCGTCGCTCTCGTGCCTGCAACGGGAGAAGCGATGGAAAATAAATATTTAAGGTCCCTCTCAAGGACGAATTTACGAGTCAGACTTTAAGGCTTGCGGCCACGCACTAACTCAAAAACCGTATAAAAACTGTGCGACATTAACCTCCGTGACTCGTAGTCAGTGCAAGCAGCTTTTCCACTGGTTTATGCACATGCTGTCAGTGTTGACTGGGGAGAGGAGTCTGCAAAGAGGTGCAACATCAAGGACAGATGTGACGTCATGGGCAAAGCGTTTTTTAGATCTATCTTGTTGACCTAATAATTGTAATTTCACCAAATGCAAAGCATTTTTTCCCGAGAAAAGTTGGTGTATATCGTTTTTCTACAAAAATGTTCGCCTTGGAAGGCTTGGGGGAAAGGGGGCAATCGTCCCCTGCTCCTCCCTTAATTTCGCCCCTGGTCTATTTTGGGGAGGACGGTGTGCAGTGTGAAACTATGAAAACAAAAACAGCACGAAGACGAGGATGAAGTAAAAAGTAACCAACAGGACACAGCGCTGCATGTCAATGCTGTGTCCTGCCGGTTGCCTTTTACTTGTCCTCATTGTCGCGCTGTTTTTGTTTTTATTGTCTACATACCAACTAGCCCAAATTTCGACGTTCAGAAACTATCAAGGTTTCATGGGTCTGCCCTCACTAGCAAGTGGTGCAACGACCTCTATACTAAAGCTTTGAGTTCACCGTGGATATTTTATCTTTTTGTTATTAGGGAGTTTAGTAGCACAACTGCGACAAAGGCTATAGTGTACTAAGCTGCAGGTGCTTTTATGATTATCATTAGTCGTTCAAAATTTGACAATAATGGACAAAATATTGACATTGAAGCTAGAGTAACTAGGCAGGTGTACTGTTAGAGGTGCGCAATGAACACTTGGAACCGACTGAACAACAAGTATACACAAACAGAACAGTATAACATACCTTTATCTCCATATGTTACACATATACCTTGGTTCTCAGATAAAATAGTCCAGATGCTTTAAAAACATACACATAGATGAGGAAGAGCTGATCACATAGGCATAAAAGCCATTGGCATTAGAGGCACCACAAAAATATGTAGGGTTTGAATTTTACTGATTGAATATTGCCCCATGGGACATAAGAGAGCTAGCACAAGAGGGTAAACAGCTAGAAAAACCACTTCTGCTGTAAAATTTAAAACATAAAAACAAGTTTTTTTGTTTTTTTTTTCTTCAAAAAGCCTTTTTGACATTTTATAGCGATCTGCCCAATTCTGGACAATGCTAGCCGCATCATGCTCAGTGGTAGTCAGTCTGTTGGCGAATATCTGGGTTTGTGTTCAAGGCCAATTCGTGCAATGACAAAAACAACCAAACTCTAACAATGTCCAGAGTACAACACATGCTACGAGCAATGACGCCCAGAGCATGTGTCTGTCACAAACACGACACCATGAACCGGTGGAAATGCTGCTTGTTTTGACCAGAATTGGTGGAAGTACACAATTGTTTTGGTGTTTTCAGTTAGTGTGGGGAGCTAAAAACAAACACATGGCTTAAAATGTAGGGTTTCCCGTTTTTGGATAAATCTGATCAAATCCCCAAGAAACACTCACCAGTAAAATTGCTGTCAGTTTGGACCCGTTAGAAAAACTTTGAATTTCAATGTCACAATGGCAAAGAAACAGGAAGGCACGGTATTCTACAAAAAAAGCTTTGGTCAGACAACAGGGTCAGTAGCCCTGAGGAGAGGCCTCTTCAGTTTCCCTTCAAATATAAAGACAAAAGGGGGTTCACCGTTTATCTCGTCAAGTTTTGTTTGGGACAAAAAGGTCATTGTAATCTTGGGTCACGAGAAAAATCCACTGTTCTAGTTTTCAGTTTGGACATGTTAAAGGAAGGCGGGTTGTGGTTTTATAACTGTGAAAGCTATGATCGTAAGAGGGAAGGGGACAACCAGAGGTTCTGTCTCACCATTCCATTCTGTACAGCCACAGGGTGGAGTTGTGGAATGGGATGCTTGCCAAAGACTTCGTCGAGGATTTCGGTGATTTTAAAGTTTTGACGTTTATTAAAGCAAAGCTTGTTTTCCAAGTGTTGGTGTAGGACAGTTAGAATCATTAATAGCAAGAGCGTGAATGCCCAAACCAGCTAAAGAAATATCATTAGATACAGTCGAGTTCTCATGAGTTTAGGGCAGGTTTCTCTCCGGATAACATTTGACTTTATATTGAATTTTAGAAAATCATGCACACAGCAAAACTAACTTGCACTTTTTTGGAGCACAGGGGAACAATAAGTGAACTCCAAAAAACACCCTCCAAATTTCATAACAGATAAACTCTCAAAATACAGAACCCTACTTATGTGTCACGAAGATTGGGACCGAGAAAGACGTTTTGTGGTCCCTTTAAACGAACACCGTCGTTGTTTTTGTTTTCTTTTATTACAAAAACTGTATGGTAGTCGAAGCTGACTTTTCCTGTAAATTCTTTCATCAAATAATCAAACAGCCCTTTGCCGCGCACGTCCCCAGTCATGCGTTCAAGTACCTGTACTGCGGATGGGTCCACCAGACGTAACTTCCGACGACGGCGCCATTGATGACCATGAACTTCCATATCCACAGCGGCAAGAACACGACCCAGAAGTTCCACAGGATGATGCCATCAAGCCTCAGCGAGAAGAGCAGGGTAAATGCCAACAAGCAACAGTAGACTAGAAAACGACTGAAAAAGATACATGGCAGGCGTTATTGCATCACTAATGAAAGTTTGGCAATAGTTTTAACAGTTCCTCATCACAATCCAAAAATAATTGTGGGAATACAGTAACACCTTATGTAACAGTTCATGCATGGTCTGGACATCTGTACTATGGACACAAATTAAGCTCTGTCAGTTCTGAGAAGGTGCTCTGCTAGACCTGAATGAATACCTCCAATCAAGATCATCTACCCCAGGAGAAACTCTGCAACTGGTGCCAGTTGAAATCTTAAGTGGTCCCAAATGGGAATCAACTGACAGTAAAATATAAACTCACCCATGGACAATTAGGGAAGAACCTGCTTCAAATTGAGTTAAGATAAGGTTGGTCTATATCGTACTGCGATCGATAAATAAGTACGGAATAATCAGAATGAGCACGCAATATCAATGCGGTCGTAACAACAAAATAAATCAAATGCATACAGGTAGATGTCTAGCCTCATCCAATTACGTTGTTCTAGCGGAAGCAGATCAGGGAAAAGAAAACCAGGCTCAGTTCAGTCGATTTTTATACGAGTTTCACTTTCGCCTAGTTAATTACCTTCCGATAGCCAAATTAACGGGGAAGACAAATCGAGCCAATGAGACAGTGCGATTCATTTGGGTCATATCCAAGTAGGATTACGGTTAATATGATTAAAGAGGTCAAACGCGTGGTAGAATGGGAAAAAAACCCGGATAAATTCGAGCAGGTTTGAATGTCACGAACGCGGAAATCTACAGAATGACCCAAATGACTACAACGACGCCTTCCAAGTGCTGTCTGCGACACTCGATTTCTTTTCCGCTTAAAAAGTTTCTCTTCCCATCAACCGAGGAATGGGATGCACAGCTTTACCCAAGCTCACCTAGGATTGAAGTCTTCAAATAGACCTTGAAGGTTCATAACATCGGATTGCAGGCGCGGAGTTGCAGCTTGAACGCCATGCGCTGTTGAGGAGATAACGTGGGGAGGCTAGGTCTGCACTTTGGATGCTCAGGAAGATCGCCTATCTTTCGCCGAAAAAATTAGCGCAACCGCCGCAAAAGCGGACAGCCAGGCCAGATGATATCCCGCGATCTGAGTGGGACCTAGCCAGAGATCACCGCCGCTGCCGTAGCGCCAGCGGAAGCATTTGAGAGAGCTCGCGTGAGAAGCGGCGCTTGCCGCTCAAAATGGACACTTTAGAAACTACACCGCTAGCTCTCTAACCGGACTGGGCTGCTCCAAAAACGCAGAGCCATCGCGCTGTTTGTTTCTCTGCTCACTGGCCAAAACAAAACATGAACATCGTATTTTTATTTTGTACCTTTTCTTTTCAAGATGGCATACTCTCAACACCAGCGAGCTGTTGTAACTTAAACCGGAAGTAATTAGTTCTTGAACTCTCGAACCTTAATATCCGGTCTGGGTGAAACTGACATTTTGTGCTTTTTGGAATGTTTTTGTTGTTTAATCACGTTGTGCCAGTGTCTTCGACACGTTTTTGCGTTTAAATGCGGTGCCTGTTAGGATTTCGGTTCTGTGTTATTATATAACAATTTTATTTATCTGCTGCCCCCTGCAAAATCCGATGAAATTTAAAAATGGCGGCGGGAGTTGGAGGCGTGACCGAGAAAACCTTGTTTCTAGGTCCCAAAATCCCAAAAGAAGTGAGATCTCTAAAAAAATTACTGCCGGGGCTGGATAAGCAGACGTTTCGAAGCTTACTCAAGAGTAAGTATCGGCGATGAAATCGTGTAGATGCTTTCCCAGCTTTATGTTGGACGGGGCAGAGAGCTGCTTCGTGTTGTGTTCTGTTTAGTCAGTTGTTTCGATGAGAAAGTGCACAAATTACCCTGAATTACCCAACATCGGAGCGACACCTTAGTTGTAAATCCGCTCTAATGGACAAAAATTGAACAGATGATGAGGCGTGGAGGCGAGAAGTTTTACAATCGTACAAGACAGAATGATAAATTTAGCCAGTGCAGTACGACCGCTAAGCGGAGCGCGAGTTCGTCTGCTTCTTTTGCGGGAGTTGTGGTGACTTCAAAATGCCGAGCTCTGATTGGCTCTGATTGAAGGATAGTGGGTAGACCTCAAGGCAGCTTTGCTTTGAGGTCTGCCCGCTATTCTTCAATCCGAGCCAATTGGAGCTCGGCACTCTGACGTCACCACAACCCCTGCAAAATTGAAGCAGACGAACTTTGGTTGTGCATAGCCTGGGGCCTTTAACATGCATCACCCAGCTAGCGATACATGAGCGCACTGTGAATAAGCGTTTTCGTGAACATTCGAATGAGGCGCAGAATGCCAGCCTCGTCTAATCGGCTGACCGCCATTTAGAAACCGGTAGCTCTTGTAGCATTGAAACCTTGCTTTGTTCCAGGTTTGGTTAAAGGTCAGCTTCAGGCCGTCGAGCCATCCCCATTATAATAAAAAGCAACAACAACAAACTTAGCGTCATTCCTTGGATAACACCGGTAACCTCGTTGAAGTTAAAGCAAGTAGGCAGGCGAGCTGGTATATATTTCGATACCTAGGATTGGAGATGGCGTTTTCTGCAATCTTAATTTTCGAGCATGAAAAGTTTAGTCTAGCCGGTTGCTACGTTAACCATGCCGAAACAAAATGTTTTGTCTCAGTGGTGCCTTCATTTTCCTTCCCACAGACCTTTCTCGCATAAAGACGACGTCAAGTGGCGAAAGCTAGGACTACGATTGGCTTCCGTAATTGTGACGCCTCTCTCGCCTCCTCCGCTACTTGTCCTTTCCCATTTTACTTGAAAATAAGCGCTGTGTTGCTCAACTCTTGGTTCACTTCGCGTGACGCACGCTTCTTGATAAGATTGCATTGCACATGGCAACGTTAGTAGTCTGTGGTCACTGACAGCTTGGGTGAGAATGACGAGGCACGTCTTCTGAACGTCCAGCCTCCTACACATGCTTCAAGCCTTCCCCTGTTTGGATGCGCGCGCATGCTCAAGGTGCATGGGACGCCGAGGCGTTAGGGAAGGCAGGAAGCTCGTGCTGGCGGTGGGATACAAGAAGACTCCTTCTGCCGTTTTCATCTTGTTTAGTGACTATATGTTCAGTGCATGCTGCTATAGCACTGTCTCTCGCGCCATCAGCGCCTCCTGTGGTAGTTTTAGGGACTAATGGTGTGTTCCCATGCAGAAGCAGTGGCGTACAGAGTGCAGAAGCGGTCATGCGGCGCGCCTTTGTAACTTGACAGAATAAGCAAGGCATTTCAGGCTAGGAAAGTAGCTTTAGCCTGGCAATCGCCTGTGTTTTGTGGACGAAGGGATGATTCATGCTGCACCAACCAGCGAGTTGGCAAAGTCGTGGTGAAATGTTTCGCACAGGTGATACTACGACAACCGTTTGCATTGTTTTTTTCTTCTTCTAAGCATGACGTTTCACCCGGGAAGTTTTATTACGCCGCCTCGGCCTAGTAGGTAGTTCGGCCTTCGACCCTTTTTCCTTTTCCTTCGCTGCGCCTTCCGGACGATGGATGATGTGTCTGTAGAATTCCAAATCTTGTTGCGGTTATTGATGCAGGACGGCTGAAATGAACTACGGAAACTCCCTGACCTGGGCGCGAATCACACTCACAAAGTTAGCGTGCATGACTAGCACAACGCAAGATTGCGCTGGTGGTTTTGTCAGCACCTGAGCAACATAATGCAGCACTTATTTTCAAGCAAAATGGGAACAGATGGAGCCGCTCAGAAGTCTGGAGAATTATTGCGACGCTGGGAGCCAGTCGCCTTTTGAGCTTTAGCCGTTGCATAAGGAGGGTGTGCACATGGCAGACCCTCCTCTTCTTGAAAACGGTCCTTTTCCTTTCCCCTGCCGTTCTCTCTCGCCCTTCTTTCTACTATGAGGGAGGAGGAGGAGGAGGAGGAGGGGCTTAGGGCTCCTATTGAGAAGCATTACACCCAGTGTTCCTCTTGACCTATGCAGCATTAGGGAACATTCATTCGTCCGTTTATTTTATGAGACAACCTCGTTTCGTGTTCTCTTCTTAAAAAGCTGGCATTTTTGACGAACAGTTGCCGTGGCAGACTTCGAGGGACGCCAGATACCCGTTGACGCCTACCCAGACCTCAGGAGCTCTTCGCCGGATCCAGACAGTCTGGACGTCGTGTTCAGCGGTCTCCACACGTTGCTTCGGGCAGCATTAAGGCTCCCCACCACGGTGCTGAAACAGGAGGTACGTACCGCTTGTGGCTGTCTCGATGGCTGTCGTCCACGCTGCCGTTATGTGCGTCCCATTTGATCCTCTCTTCTTTCTTGCAGACATTCAAGGAGGATTTGGAAGTTCTACGGTGAGTAGCTAACTTGCAAGCAGTTCATGTGAGCCTGCCTGAAATACGACAGACGCGTCCAAGTTGTCTTCGGTGCTGAGAAAACCATCCATGCCATTGTTTGCTAAACAGGTGATCTAGAAAAAAAAAGTTTGGGGTATGCATTTCGGACTTTCCTGGCTACTCTCTGGAAAGAAAGCTTCTGCTATGGCCCTGGAGCTCATACCCTAATATTTGTGTTGCCCAGGTATAAACGAGCAGTAAATATGGAATACTTAGTGTGTGCACGTGTGAGGTACTATCGTGGACACTGTTAGCTATAACACGGCAGCGGCGGCCGTCCCGTACCCCCAGCGCCCCATAGCAGGCGCTGTCCGAAACTCCGCGCATGCGCCGTGCGGTGGACTCGCTCTTCCCTTTTGCGAGCACACCCTCGCTTTACCGTCTGCTAGGCGCAGAGCAGGCGATGCTACAGTGCTGCTCGTCTGGTACCCTCGCTATAGCGAACTGGTCTCAAACTCATTTTCAACCGGCGATTTGTATTGGGGCAGATTGCAGAGTCATTAAAGCATAACTCCTGTTTAAGATTTTTTTTTTTTTTTTGTCAGAAACAGCATTTTTATTGATATGTATGAGCGCAGCAGGTGCGATACAGAAATAGACTGTTATACTCCATTTCACCTTAAGTCCGACCGCAGCGTACGCTTCAAAACGACAGAGCCAATCAAATAGCGGCAAAGGTGCAACGTCACGGAGTGCATCCCCGGGGGACCCAATAAAGTGCAAAAAGTGCTTTTGTCGCTGCTTGGTGGGTCATATCGTCTCATAGCGTCCGCAGCACTTGGACCTAAAGTGAAACGGATGATAACTGCAAGTTTGTCTCATAAAAAATTTTAATCTACCGTGATGTTACATTTAGTATACAATGATTATCCTTAGCCAGTGGAGTCAGGGAATCAACCGTGGGCACCTCATACGCGGTGGTTCACTGAACATGGTTCAGCGAACCACCGCGTATGAGGTGCCCACGGGGTGAAAATTGGCAAGCGCTGTGGCGTCGTCTGCTCTGTGCCTAGCAGACGACAAAGCGAGGGTGTGCTCGCAGGCGGGAAGAGCGAGTACGCCACACGGCGCATGCGCGGAGTTTCGGACGGCGCCTGCTATGGGGCGCTGAAGGTACGGGGCGGCCGCCGCTGCCGTGTTATAGCTAACAGTGTCCACGATAGTACTTCTGCTCGGTTAATCCCGAATAAATAAGCCTCGACAGTAAAGGAAGTAATTGCAGGTCCGCTTCTACGCAAAGAGGCCCCAAAACATGTTTATTGGGTTCCACCAGAGGTACACTGCATTACTGCTGGCGCAAACGCGGCATCGTCAGTTTTTTCTGACTCGTTTCAAAAGGGCACTAAATTTTACTATTTGGGTTAGCACCTCAAGTAAGCACTTTCCACCACTCCAGTAGTTATGTGATGGCAGCCTTTAGATTTTAAGAGAAAAGTGGAAAAAACCGGCGATCGCTTGTTCGTGGCAGCAGTGTCGTGCTGTGCACCTGTAAGGTGTCTCTGAAATACCCGTTCTGCTCGCAGAATTCCCGGCGAGTTTGTGGAAGATTTGGCGAGCATCGTGTTTGGTCCCAGGTATGTTTTTGTTCAACTACATAGCAGAACACGTGGTCCTGTGGAAGTACATGAGATGTTCCGACGTCCCGGTGACGTTTTGTTGCCATCTGCAAGGCCACATATTCTGTTTGGGACACGTGCACAAAGTGCTCGTGTCAAAAGCACGAGACATTTCTCTCCCGCTTTTAGGAGAACCAACATTGACCAGAAAACCATCGACGGTGCTCCCAGCTACCCCACGCTGGAAAGTCTGAGGTGGAGGATCGACGTGAGCATTTCCACCAAGTGAGACGCGTTTCTTGTTTTCATACTATTACTTTCACATACCGTTACCGCAAAATTTTGAGCATGCACCCATGTCCCAATGAGTAACGAACCCTACTTTCAAAATGTTTGAAATAAATGCGAAGGACGTATCAAGCAGCCATCCCAGCAAAATTCTGAGCCCACCGAGGTGCTTCTCAGCCGCTTCCCCAAGAAATCAGTGCAAAGTGGTAAAGCCTAATGAGAGAGCGCTGGCGTGAAGCAGGCGAGATGGGTGGCATGGCTGTTTTACAAATTAGGAGTTCTGCCAGACACCTATACTGCTAGTACAGTACACTCATTAATTCAAACTCCAGGAAGCCACAAATTTTGTCGAAATTATCAGAAGTTCAAATTATTGAAAATTTATCTAAATATGATGAAAGTATGTGTATGTGTCTTCGTATGTGTAGCCATAGGAATGGCTACACATACAAAGCAGATATTTGGTGATTCCCTCTAGATAGGCCTACCGATCATAAGAGGTTGTCTATCACTCAAAAGTGTTATCATGGACTGTTTAGACAGCAGATGACAACTCAAAACAAAATTAAGTTTGTTCATCGGGCCAAGAAGTTGTCGAGTGTGGACTATTAAGCGGGGTACACATGCGCGATGAAAACAGGATCCGCGCGGCAGTTTTCATAATGATTTCGTGCGGATGCTGTGACGTGTACCTATGCCATGCCGCCACATCGCAGCGTCTGCGCAAGTTGCTGTGAAAATTTTCGCTTGGTGCTAAATTTCACAATTCATCCGTGCCCGCTTGAGCCCCGTTGAGTGCGCTTCTCAGCGAGCACCGCAGAGAAGCAACACCCGCGGAAGCAAGTTTCGCGGGTGTTGCTTCTCTGCAGTGCTCTGGTGCTCAGAAAGAAGCACACTCAACGGGGGTCGCGAGAACAAGAGGTATTAATTACACGAAAACGCTGTTAGAATTAAGCGGCTTATGAATACATGAAAAGCATAGCGGGACAATAAAAATGTTGAAATTTGTTTGATTTAACCAGAAGTACGAAATTTCCGAGTTTGAAATAATGCGAGCCTACTGTATACATTTTCTTGGATCAAACGGTAGACCCTCTGGAAGCAAGAAAACTCTATTGAAAGATTCTTGGAGTTGTCTCCACTATCCATGTCTTCCCTCTGGGGGACACATATCTCCCGTAATGTCACGAGAGATAGCCCACCTAAAATTGGTAGCAAATGGAGCAAATATAAAGACTGGACTAACTTTTGTTTTGTGATCAACAGAAGTTGAAAAACCGCTATTTCTAGATCACGTGAGCCGCTAGACTTGCCATCTCAACGGGGGGCAATGAAGCATGGAATTCCCCCCAGTCAATAATGGTTGCTTATCTCCTGCCATGGCTAACTAACCCCATTTTTGCCGTCGCCATTGAGCGAGGCGCTGAATTTGCTAAAAATAAGCTATCTTTTGGTGTCTTTGAAAAAAAATTGAGTACCATGCCGAAAACAGGGGTGGGTTGTCTTTTGGGAGGTGGGGAATCTCTCAGGATATCCATGATTTTGTTCGTCTGGTCAAAATCTTTTGTAGCTTGAGCAGCATCATCACCACTTTACCGCTTTTGCAGCGTCCTGAGCAGAGCTCTTGAACCATCCATACTCATGGAAATAGACACGTCCGACGGCAAGAGTCATTCTTTCGAAGTGAGTATATATACGTTCACCGTAAACACCAACGCGCAATTCCTCGCTGCACTATATATACGTTCGCCGTAAACACCAACGCGCAATTCCTCGCTGCACTTTGCCCGATGCGAGAATCGATGGGGCCGACGTGTACCTTTTGCTTTGCGTACATTTGTACTCAATTAGGTTTACATTAGTGTGCTCCGCTCGCACAATGTAGCGAGAGAAAACTAGTGCTCTCGCCTTGTGTCGCCGACAGGAAGCGTGTACCGAAACCGGGACAACCAAGGGTTGTCCCGTTTTCAGTACTCGCTTCCGAAATGGGCACATTCAAATTAATTAAAACGGCAGATATCTCGACGACTCTTAAGTTGACCGACTTTGTGGCTGCATTTATAATGCGCACGCAATCGTCGTGTACTACCTGGAGCCACTTGACGGCTGAACCTTTTAGCTGAAAGGCTATGACACAGTCATTAAAAATATGAAAAGTGCAATGGACCTTTTTCCAGTAAGCTTCTGCACATGTGCACATTCCTTGCCAGGCCTTGCTTCTCGCTGTCTCCATCTTCGGAGGGCACCATCCCACACGACCAACATTGTCAGCGCCATCTTTCCACGTATATCCTCTTTTTTAATGATTTTATTTCTGGGTATCGGTAGCTAGGGGCATAGAAAGTGACGAAAACCGATACAATGGCTCAATATCAACGTGTTTTGATGAGTGGAGTCCTGTTGGGCCGCCCTTCATTTGTGTAGTTGGTGGACAAACCACCCCACGGCACTCATTACTCAAAAAAGGTAGACTATTGTGACGTCACGATACCACCACCGCACTGCTGCCCGAATACCACCAAACATCTGCGAACAGTTTCCTGCAAAAGCTACGCACCAGGCAGAAAAAGGATCGGTGCCGTGTTAGTCATCTTTGGGGGATTAATTTAGTGAGCTACATTGTATCTGGCATGATTAAGTATCTAAATTACTATTCCACCCTCTAGGTGCAGAGAGCAGAATTTCACAAGTTGCGGCACGCAGTGGCGACAGCACTGAAGGAGATGGAGGAGCTTGAGAAGAAAGTCGACAAGATACCAGTACAGTCGCTCCAGTGAAAACGTTTCTTCCCACTCTACTCGCAAGTGCGTTCGTGCCCTGGCAAAGATCCCCAAGATTCGTCTGCCGATGTCCCCATTGGTGGACTGGTCTGGACCTTGCCCAGTATTGGTAGTTTGATTAAAACATTCTGGCTTGTGGCCACTGCTTTGTGGTGTTTAGAACTTGACCGTCCCACGTGCCTTTGTTGCTCGATTCATTGCAAGATTTTAGCGATGTCTCAGTTAAAGATTTTCTTGCTCAAAACGGCATGCTAAATTGGAACAAAAAAAAACTAGAAAAACAAGTCTGTTTTCGCTTGGGGGGCGCAGACTTGCAGAACATTGAACTTGTATGACACGAGTGGCTCGCTCTTCTCAAACTAGACTCCTAGGAACCAAGGCGCCCCCAGAATACCCCCTTGTGGGTTCCTCAAACTCACCGATTTCCTTAACTGCTCCTGCCCTGAAGTTACCGTAGAATACCGCACATCCGCCCATTCCACATTAAGCACCCATTCCCAAATTTGTAAGATCTGAGAAAACACGCACAGTACATTTATATGTAAAATTGATGACCCGACAAGTGCCCATCCCCCATTTTTTTTTATCTCCAAGGTTTGAGTGGGCGCTTGCCCAGTATTTTACGGTAATGTTTTTTTTTTCCAAGTGTAAGCACAATTTTAGAAGACCTCAGCCACCCAGTGATGCGTAGCTATGAAACACAGTCCCTACCGTGTACATCATTGCTTACAAGGTAAGTAGGCTTCTACGCTGCTGCATCGCATCAATTCCAACCTCGAAAGGGGTTTTTTCGGCCGCCAATCGAGGAAGATAAAGGTTCTTCAAGATTGAAAAGTTTGAGAAGCCTCAGTATATGGCATTACATGGAGTGTTTGTCTTTACGAGAGCAAATCTGTTCGCTTTCTCAATGCTGAGTAACATTGCAAGTTCCTGTCGGCATTTGTGCTCTTTTAGCCATTTATGCGAAGCACGAGTTTGTCTGCTTCTGTACAGAGGCTGCGAAGACGTCGGAACGCCGAGCTCTTATTGGCTGATCGAAAGAAATAGTAGGTAGACCTGAAGGCATATAGCATTAAACCCGCCACCCTTTCAATCGGAGCTCGCCGTCCTTCTGACGTCACTGCAACTGCAGCGCAAGAAGCAGACGTCTTGCTCTCCACATAGTGTTCCCACTTGACAGACTCCCAGTGGCCTTTTGAAAAGCAGGCTTGCATGAGCAACTTTGGTTGCTTAGAGGCACTACACCACTTTCTGCAATAGTCTATTTATGGTTGTGACTCAATCTGTGAGCTCTAATCATCCTAAAAAGCCAAGCATCACATTCTTTTGCTTTTCCTCGTGCGATGGCGCCCTCTGGTGTCTACAATAGTTCCGAGGCAATCTATCTTTGCGGAGCACAAGTTCGTCTGCTTCTTTTGCATGGGTTGTGGTGACATCGGAACGCCGAGCTCCGATTGAAGGATAGTGGGTAGACCTCAAGGCAGCTTGCTTTAAAGGGCCCATGAAACGATTTTTAGGTTGGGATAAATCATTTTAGATTGGGATTTTACTAATAGCACATCGTTCAGTTGGCCAAAAGAAAAAAGGTAGGAAGTCAAAAGCCTGACTTTGTGCGAAAATTTGAAAACACAGCGGACTATTTCGTACCTCCTCTCCTTCGTAAGCTCTCTGCCTTTTCACTGTGATACATCCGCGGTCCCAAAAGCGCGTCCTCGGGTTCAAACTGACGTCACACGAAATCGGACCTCACTTAATCCCTCCACCCCTAAGCTGACATCGTGGTGGAAGCTACGCGCTTGCTGGACCAATCAGCCACCTCCCTTTCATCACCTGACCTCATTCTCTGCAGCCACATTTGCCATGCTCACGTGGCAAGTGTGGCTGGCCCAACGAGCACATAGCTTTCGCAGCACTGTCAGCTTCGGAATGAACGGGTTGGGGAAAGCAACTTTTGTCTGAATTTTGAGCGACGGGCTAATCTAGGGGGACAATGGCTCTGCTCAGGTACACAAACCAGATTCCGAGCGAAAGGGGCCTCCCTTCTTTTCGTCTTCTTGAACTGTTTGGTGGAATGCTCAATTTATGAGTTCAGGAAGAAAGCTAAACAGGAAAAAGTTGGAAAAGCGTTTCACGACCCCTTTAAGGTCTACCCACTATCCTTCAATCGGAGCTCGGTGTTCCGACGTCGCCACAACCCCTAAAAAAGAAGCAGACGAACTTGCACTCCGCATTGATACTGATTCTAATAGAGAAATTGTCCACGCTTGAATGCAATGTTTGGCTTTTAAGGATGATTAGGGCCCTTAGATTGAGTTATGACCATAAATAGACTATCGTAGAAAGTGGTTTAGTGCCCCTTTTACAGTTCCAGATGGCACAAGCAGTGTGTTCAGCAGGGGTTTTCAAACTTTTGTTCATCAAGGAACTTCTCTTTCTTGACCGGCAGTTGAGCATACACGTCTGGGTCTTGACATCATTCTTGCAATAAAGCAATACATAAGCGTGCAGAAAACAATAATGGACATACATTATAAACTCGTTATGACAGACTTTGATAGTGATGTGGATTTTGGTTCGTCGTAAAAGGAGTATGCAGAACGCAGATACTTTTTACTACAGACTTTACGGTGTAGATTGTGAATGGAGTCGGTTCTAGCCAGCGAGACTAACGAAATGTGAATGGATATTAGAATTGAACTGGTTTACCGAGCAATCTAGACTTCGACAGGTAGAGATTTTTTGTCGAGCTGTACCTGCGAGCGTCGTCACTGCGTGCTTTGGGTCATACGAGGCTTGTGAGGCGCCGAGTGCAAGGACAGCAGTTCATATTATGGATGCCACTGCTGCTGAACCAAAGTCGCGTAAAGTCATAGAAGAGCGAGCAGTAATGAAATGGTGAACTGCTTGCAAACTCCCTAATATAGTTGAGTATATCCAAACGAATGTTTTAACTAGGGTGACCAGATGTCCCGTCTTGGACGGGACAGCCTAGAATTTGGCCTGCCTCAATGGTCAACCAGTCTCCCAGCTGTAGGTGAGAAATTTAGCCAGTGCAGTACAACCGCTAGCCTGGGGTCTTTAACGTGCGTCACGCAGTAGTGATACACGACTGCACGCCGGTACGATGCTCATCCAGATGGGAACGGGCAAGGGTGGGATTGACTCCAGTACCATTTTAGAACTTCAATTCTGCCGTTTCATATTTTTGGTCTGACGAAGCCTCATCTCCCGTTTTTGTGGGAATGTGCATAGTAGTTGTGAAATCGGTACTGAGCGAATGATATGAAAATAAACATACTATGAAACATACTGTAGTTGCATCTGCTAATACATTTTGTTCAGATAAATGTTTGTATGTGAGCCTCTTCTACTATATCACTGAATTTGACGTCCTTCGGTCGGCAACATTTCTTCCGCATTATAAAAAAAAAATGGGGAAGAAAAGCACTTGTGGTCTCAAAGAAGCACTTTGGAAAAATGTGTGCATTTCCATTTATGTGAAGCAGAGCTTTTTTTTCTGCCTCGTCTCTCCCACCCTATGTTCTGTTTTTTACCCCGAGGATTATGGTCACCCTAGCTGTAATAGAATTTGTAATAAGCGAAGTCGCCTCAATGGCATAGATAGGAAGACCAACCGGACTTCGCAAATCGGCATGAAACAATAACTGAACATCTGCTGCAACTAGATTTGTTGTAACGAGGCTATACTGTGCTATAGGAGTGTGTGGCAGAATAGTTATATGCAACAATGGATGGCTCAGACCTGCTGAAATGGGCTCAAACTGGGAAGATGCTCCACTCGGGTGTAGGGACGGTCGAGCAGGGAATCTGGATGCTTGGGGAGGAAACTTATGAGGGTGCTCTGGGACACCCTAGAGTTTCTAGAAACCCAGATTGAGAACCCAAGGTGTACAGCTTGGGTTCCCCAAAGCGCCCCCGGGGGTCCCTTTGAATTCCCAAAATCTCTTCAACCGTCTCCCTCCTCCAAAGTAAAGTGCTCTTACACTTTGAGCACTATTTTAGGCCCATTGTTGTTTAGCTATACGCCAAACGCTCACTAATATATGTATTATTATTTATAAAGTCCATAGGCTTCTGCAGCGCTTCACTGTGCCGACACTGGTGAAGGTTACTTGGCTAGAAATCACGGTAGGCAAACGTTCCTCGAGATAGTCTAAGAATCGCTGCAACCAAAGTAAATAGGGACCCTTTAATTGCGGATATTGTATAACAATGCCTTCATGGCTATAAAAATGGCAAAACCCAGGTATATTACACAAACAAGGCCACACCGTGTTGTGCAGTGTCCACAAGTCCACACTCTTGTCACTTTTTTCGTTCGTACGTGAATTCGTTGGGCGACCTCTCCCAGACGCACTTCCCCGCAATCCACGTGGAGGTCACGTGAAGGTCGCTGCCGAGCATCACAAAGTCCGCCTCCGCTCCGAAGTTGAGCGTTCCCTTCCGATCCGCGATGCCGAGGACCTCCGCAGGATGCAGGGACGCCGATTCCAGCGCCTCCACGGTACTGCAGCCTGCGAAAGGTTTTCCTCGTCTATTTCGGGGCAGTCCGTTTTCTTCCACCTTCGATTTCACCCAAAAGGCTTATCCTTTGTGGAAGTGAGTTATTGAAACTGGTGGATTCTCTGAGCATGCATTCTCTGCATGCGCCTGTTCAAGGCTCACTAAGCGCTGAAGTGTCATCGAAGGTAGAAAGCTTGTCCTGGAGGCGGGACAGATGAAACTGCTCCCCGTCATTCCCATCCTGTCGGTGACTTCAGCCCTACCACGAAGATTTGGCGACTTGTAAGGCTTTGTTAAAATGGCGGTCGCTTAATCGCACAAAGTCCTCGTCAATAGCCGTGCGCTCTGGCACACCAAGTGCCATATGCTCGAGTGGAATGACATATGTGAGACTGCACTAGGTTCCTTCGGGAAAGCTGATACTACATACTACATTCAAAAGTTTGGTGACTGACAGCTTAAATGCAGCGCATGGCTAGTTGCTGCATGCATAATGAAAAGTACTTTTTTTTTTTCTTTTCTTTTTGACATTGCACCATGCGTACACTGAAGGCCTGACTTTTGTCTTGCGGTGCTGTGAAGCTTTTCCGCGAATCCGAGTGTGCCTCGTGCTGCGTCGAGTTTATAATTTGCCACTTTTTAATTTGAGGCCGGGGCAGCTGCTCCCAAATTAGATGGGAGAGCGTGCAAATTTAATATGTTGGCCGGGAATGTCGACTGCTGCAATTCCCAACTCTGTGTCACAGTGCTCGTTTAACAATTTTCAGAGATGTGCAAAAGAGGTTTTCACCAGGATTGTCTCAGAAACCCGGAATATTACTTTACCTATCAAAAATTAGATCAAACGTTTGCGAGTCATGGTTTAGAGGAGAAGCATATTTCATTGGTTGGATGACGGCGCACCTGTCGGCCCATCCCAAGCTGTGGCCTCCCCCATGCTGGATGAGCGAAGTGATTTTCATCTACCATACAGGATTGCAGTCAGATATGACTGACAGGTGCCCTATCCAGCTGCTGCAATATGCCCCTCTCCCCCTGGTACTGAGGGCATGTAGGTTTGATTACAATTTCTGGGACGCTTAAAGTACATTAACAAAACTGTCGTCACAAAATGCCAAACTGAAGCACCCTTTCAGCGCAATTGTAATTTAGAATTTTTAAGCGTTGGAGAAAAGAGTGGAGATCCCACCTGTGGATTTCTGTAGGAACCGGACGCAGAAGTCCATTGTTGCGATGCTGCGGAAACAAAAGTTTCGAGTTAACAGATTGCATCGTCTCGCGATACCTGGCCGTACATCTCTCGTAAGTGGACCAGGCAGGCAAGATGGGCAAGCATGCAAAAATGCTAAGTACTAAAAGGGCTTTCTTTTTTTTCTTTTTTGACCTCCAATGAACTGGCTGTAAAAAAAAACACGAGGGTGTTTTGATCTAGACCGAATTCGTATACATATTGTCGCCATTTTCTGCGTAATCGCTGCGCTGGTTTAGGCAATTATCGTGAAGTGGCACAAGCTTTTAGACGCCTTTTTAAAGAAGGTTGCCACCGGGCTTCTCCGTCGTTTCATCGCGCATTCAACAAGACTGTCAGACGCCACAGACATTCTTCCCTGACTCCCATCATCATGGACATCTGCTCATCCTCCCCAGAGCCTCCTGCAGTGTCCCCTATGCACTTACACGTTTGTAATGTGCACGTGTAATGTGCACGTGTGTAATGTGCACATCTGTGCAATATGCAATGCGACTGTCAGTCTCGGTAAATGCTCGAGGGAATGACTGCAGCTACCTTCTTCGGAAGAGGGCACAGAAAAGCCCGTCTCAAGCCAAAATATGCGAGCGCCTAAATCTGTGTGGCAATTATATGTGGAGAAGTAGCCAGACACTATTTATGTTTTGTGTTTATTGAAATATTTTTCACAACTTTTTCTTTTTTCACCGAGTTGGTCGGACACTGGAACAAAAAAGCACGACCCTTGTACTATAAAATAGTTACTTTGGTCGAAAGCCGCACGCAAGAGACCTTTTTTGAAAGTTCATTGAGCAACAGTGACGGCCGCCATGTCTTGGGTGTCGCCTCTTGCGTGAAACGTGCGACTGGATCAGGGTTCCCGCTGAGCGTCAACTTCATTTGGACCCGAGTATGTGCCGAACGCCGATGCAGCCCCCGTTTCCAGTGCATGCTCGGAGTGCACGCCCAAATTATGGGGGCCTCGGAAAATCGATGTAGTAGCTGCCAGAGGATGCGCGCTTCTGAGAAGGGTCGCTTAAAACCCGGACTAAACGTGCACCAACAAGTGTCATGGCCGCGTCTGTACGAACCGTGTATAGACGAGACGCTTTGTGCTTTTCCGAACTGGCCTCGAAGGAGGCTCGTCCTCTCACCTTCCGCAAAGCGTGCTGGTACCGGCAATGACCGCCCGCTTTCCGACTATCTCCACCTTGTTCTCGCCGATGAAGTGCACGCCGGCCTCGAGTCCCATCGCCGACATTGCGTCCGTCACCAACGTCAGACCTGCGCAATTTTCCAAGTTCCGGACGTTGGCATCGGGGCTGGCCCTACACCAAGCGCCCTGGCCAAACCCCGGCAGTAGCATCTAAAGTCCCCTTAATATGATTCACATCTACAAGTACCGCCAACCATCGTTGTGGAAACGCACAAGACGCGTGCCACGAGTGGGTGTTCTGCTGCCATTTGCTTCCAAGGGCTGTTCATTTCAGTGCTGTGCCACCATTTGCTTCCAAGAGCTGCTGAAGACATGGGCCTCGTGCACAGGCGCATTTGACGCTACTCGCGAGACAAACGCAACAGCATTGAGAGACTTTAGTAGCGCCCCTCCTACGCCCCCCCTTTCCTATACTCCCTTATCTACTACGTACGACACCACATCGTCAGTAAACATGCGAATAGTGGCCCAACGAGCATTTTGTCAGACGAGAACTGCATTCCAAAAACAAACGGCAATCGAGCCCACAGCATCGTGTAGGGAGCTGTGCTCAAACAGATCAAAAAGGTAAAAAAAAAAAAATTAAAATGGGGGCGTGCGACGGCGCTCCCCTTTGGATGCCGCCCTGGATGACTGACCGCCCAGATGCATGCCATATGCCTGATCAACTAAACTAGAAACCACAATAGTGACAAGCACTACCAGATGCCTGATTGGCCTCTGTTGTGACCTAAAAAATGGCAACATTGACCACATGTCCTAAATGACTAGGTGGCAGAAGCTACCACATGCTACAAAAAATATAGCCAATACACTCCATCCATCCATTCATGGGTGCTGGAGCTAATCCCCCCCACCCCTTGTCAATACCCGGAAGTTGGGAAGGAGACGAGTGGCCTTTCGCCGATTTGTCACACCACTAAGATAAATGTGAAATGTTCCAAACTTTTTTTTCTTCTCGTGATTTTGAATTTTTAGGACAAATCTGAAGTGATAAAAGCTTTATTGGCAACAATTTTTAGCCGCCTTATCTGTAAACATGGAACACTTTAGGGGAGACGACATTTAGGTAGTCCACTCGCCTCTTGCATTTGTCTTGTACGCAATGCGCAATGCTGCGGGGTGCGTGTGGATGCCGTCGGCTATGATCCCGTAGAAAATGTGCTTCTCCTCGGGGAGCTTCTTGGAGGTGAGCAGCCCAACCAAACCAGGATCTCGGTGGTGAAACTGCAACGATGATTGACATCTGCTCATTCCCTGCTAATATGGAAGACGTACGATTGCGACATAAAAATATTTTTATGTCGCAATCACAGTTTAACAGGCTGTTAGAAACGAATACTGCTACTTTGACAAATAAAGCGGAAATGGCCTCAAAAGATTAAGAGTGTGAGCAAGCTGATGATATGCAATTAAAACTAGAACTCGAGACAGGGCTAAACCGTTATTATGTTTTGGCGAGAACACTGGTCTTCTCATGATGGATGCCTGACTCTACCTACCTAGTTGTAATGATCTGATGGAATGAAATGACTCCAATGAGTGCTGTAAACAAATTTCAGCTTGTTTTTGTTTTTCGGGCAGCGTCCACCTAGCACGAGCTTTGGGCAGAGCAGGAGAAAGTTCTAGAATGGGACGAAGCTTACGGGCAGCATTGCATTGAACAGGTGCGTGATGAAGGATGCACCCCGCTGGATCGCCTTTTCACCTTGGACTAGATTTGCTTCTGAGTGCCCTGCAAAAGCGAAACACGATTTCAAGGCACTGTAAGATGAAGACAGTTACCCCGCTACAGCTTGGCAAGATTAATAAGTTTGTGGCTGCCATATTGGCAGCTGGGATGCTCGCGATAGAAGCGGAATGATGTTGTGGTTCCTTGGTATGCGGTAGTTCTTGGCTACCAAGTTGCTTCGGGTTGGTTACCCGCGGGCTAGCTAATTTTCATGCCCAGAATTGGCCGTTCTTATAATTGCTTACAAAACCCTTTCTTGTAAGCCCTGTGGCAGTGCTCTCATGTTCTTGCAAAACCCCAACCTTGGTTCATGTCTGGAGGCTGAACATTGCACTTTTTTTCCCCAACTTTTTTTTTAATGTAACCCCATTTGGCTACATGCCGAGTTTCACACCTGCACTTGCTCTACCACATTTTAGAGTAAACTCCCTCAAACACATCTCGGCATGAGCACAAAGGGCACACAGGATGGCCATCCAACATCATCGTAAAACATGCAAAGAAACGCACAACAGCTCGCAGAAAACAAGGTCGTCGAAGACTTGGCTCATACTTATAGGTCCTGCTTAAGCTACTGAACGTTAGAAGGGTACTATACTAAGAATCTATAGGGTGTCCCCCAAAAAAGATTTACAGTGTCTTTTTCACCGCAAAAATAAACTACGCACTGCAGAATGCTCATTCGCTGCCAAAATGTGGCACTAGAGGTCCGGACCAGATGGTTTCAGTTTCAGCACTGACCATTCTTTTATTCAAAATTCATAGTATTTTCTAGAATTTTCAATGGGAAAATGGCGGCTCACAGGGCTCTTAAACACACATGGAACTCTAGGGTGCCAGTTACCGAAAACGGGCAGAAGTGGGCCCCATTTACCCATTAAAATTTTGAGAAGATCACTTATAACTTTGAATAAGATAACAGTTTGTTTTAAAACTTTGGCATCTGGTTCAGAACACTGGTGCTTCATTTGGGCGGAGAATGAGAGTATGGCGATGCATAGTTTATTTTTGCGGTGACAAAAATATTGTAAACGTTTTGGGGAGACACGCTGTACTTAACAGGAAGAACTGAGCCAATCAAGCCTTCCGGTTGGCTGATGTCAACCACATTGACACCAGAAAAATATTTGCCTGGCTTGGACATTTTGCCAAATGCAACGAAGATGTGACAGCACTAATACGCAGTTCCTACTCTACCCGTTCCTAAGCAGCGGAGGAAAGGGGGGGGGGGGGGGAAGAGAGAGAGAGGGGAATGTTAGGACGATTGGTCGCACACACTATAACATCAAATCAACAGCTGTGCTTCACTGGTGACACTCCCCCTCTGCCCTGCAATGGTGCTACCAACACCAGCACAAGCCAAAGAAGGTTCGCAAAGGGTTCCCGTATTCAAAACTGCACATCTTGTTTCACAGAGTGCAACTGCAATAAAATCATTATAAAAACATAAATACAATTGTCAGTGCTTGTATTATTAGATACATTATAATTTGATTCTTCAAGAAAAGTTACTAATGAGACCTTCTTATATTTCAGCATGCATTGATCACCATCATAAAGCTGGCATCCAGCCCTGTCACACAAAAATATTTCCATGAGTCTTTCATTCCCAGCACTTAAACAATGTGGAATCACCTTCGCCGAACCATCGCTGAAATGGCCGATAACGAGAATTTTCGAACCAACATTTTCTCGTAAAAAGCCCTAACTACTGCATAGTATTTTTTTTAGGGATATGGGAATAATCTGAATTTTCGAATTGTAGTTTCGAATAATACGGTATTCTATATTCGCTTTAGGATGAACTGCAATATTCATATTTTTCCAAGTGTTGATCGCACCAAGTTTGCCCGGTTGAGCGCTCTTCTTACCGAGCACCGGTGCACTGCGGAGAAACAACACTTGCGGAGCTCACTTCCGCGGCTGTTGCTTCTCCACAGTGCACCGGTGCTCGGTAACAAGCGCACTCAAAGGGGCCAAGAATGCCACATTCAAGTTCTATTGGAGGATGTAATCAACTTTATCATCATTCCCAAACGTCCTAGGACGTGGATTCGTGCGATATTTGCATTGCAGTAAAATTTGCAAAATTAAGCTGGCTATTATGCATGATTTACGTTAGGCAGAGATGTCCCGACAACCTGCATTAACCATTCGTGACTGAAGAAGAGATATCTGCATGTAGCAAGAATACTTATAAATCCCCTCATATAGGTATTTGCCATCCCAATGTAGGCATTGGACTCCCTGAGGCCACAGTCCATAAATATATTTACATTCAAATTAACTTAAAAATACACAAGTGGAAGCGTGCAAACAACCTTCACGAGTTCAGCTCAGTTGTCGTTTAAGCACGGTACAGTATGAAAGGCTTAGGGAAGCTATTCGGTATTAAGGAAGGACACTACCCAGAAAAAAAAAAATTCTGCAAAAAACGTTGATTTTGAAAAATTACATATTTACATTCACCAACATCTAGAGAGTATTTTCAGAAATTTTCACTAGTTTACACCACATAGTTAATTTTTCATAAATTATTTTCTGTCCACGGGAGCTAAAGAAAAGGTAGGGTTTGGAGCACTTTGAACACATTTTTCTCCGTTCCACTTTTTGGTATAAATTCCATTTTAGTCAACCTATCGTTTGATAATGGCAATACAAGGAAGGCTCGTTCTTCAGTTTTCCTGACTGAAATTTAATAAGGAATGCGGCTATGGAATGTTTTTATCACTTTACAGATGTCTTTTATAAAAAATGTTGGCATTTTGTCAAAGACACAGAAGACCAAAACGTTTACCAATTTTGCAGAAGAGAAAATTGATAGAAATCAATAACTTTTTACAAAAAGCTTTCCATAGCCGCACCTCCTAGGCATTCTGCTACATATCTAGCGAATAAAAATCTTGAATATCGTGATAGTTTTCCGACGACAGATTAACTGATGCCCTAATTTCCTTCCCGCTTAACCGACAGACATGAAAGTTTGTTATGCACCCTTTAGCATGACCACCAGCCTAGCCTGTAAATTTCATTAATGTTAAGCCAAGGGTTCAAAAGTTGACCCTCCTAGGGGGTGTTCCCCCCTTAAATTCGAAAATATTAGACCAAAACCACTATTTGCTTAGAATTCGCTTTTTAATTCCGTAATTTACCTCGTTTTTGGCCATGAAAGTCGGTAACCAAATAAATAAATGTAAAGCTGCGCACAGCACACGTTCGTCTGCTTCTTTTGCAGGGGTTGTGGCGACGTCATTGCCTTACAAACGAAACAGAAGTAAAACATGTACACAGGGGGCCCCAAACAGCTGGTTTTCGTACCGACCTTTTATGTCCGTCCAGAGAGTCCACAAACCAAGCGCGCTCACCAATGGAAACGGTGATGCCCCTCTTGACCAGGGACGGGATGACGATGTCCTCGACGTCCAACTCAGGAGCAACAGTGACGATGGCCACGTTGTCCAGAGGGCCGTACATCCTCGCCACTGCCTCTAGCCCATCATCAAGGCTCTGGATCAGCTGGGCCTTGTGGGCACCTTTCTTGTGCTTGTTGATGAACGGACCCTCGAGGTGCAGCCCTACAAGACAGACAGATGCACGTGGCTAAACCCCTTAAATCGGCTGGCGGGTTGAGTCATCTGGTTGGCGCAGTTGGTGACAAGCACGCTGCGCACAGCCAAGGTCACTATCGTTTTCTATTTCTGCACTTTATTTGCTGTAGATCTTGTATGTTGTCACCCCTTGTGCAGTGGCCTCTATGGTTCCTCGAGGCAAAGTCAATGAACAAATGCGAGAATTCTGACTCTCTAACTTTTCGGATAATCGCGCAGTTCTGAATACATATATCGATCCTGTGGAGCACATCGTAATGCAAGGTCTGTTGTTTTGCTGATAGTGCCCTTGTAACAGCATATCTGCAAATGCGGCCTATAATAATCGGTGGAAGATGCTGAGGGTAGAGTCCCGCTTCGCACTTTCATAGTGGCATTCGCGCATATTAAATAATAAATCTGATTAAACAAGGCCAAAACAAAATGGTTCCCATCACAATCGTGTACCTAAAAGAACTGTGGCTGCCTTAATAAAAAAAAAGAAGCACTTTTGTCAAATGCTGACAGAACTGCTTGGCATCATTTACTTAGGTAATGAGCCTGCAAAGAACAGCCACTGTTTGAGCAAACGGACATCAAGTTAATTTAGTGGGGAAGCACCAATCTTAACAAAGGCAATGCAAACGACTAGAGCTAAAAACAAAATGTAGTACCCAGGATTCCGGCACCATTGGCACTCCCATCACATTTCTGAACCTTGGAGAGTGCCTGGGGATTAGAAAAAACAAAATCAAATAAAATGTTTCAAGGTAAAACTGAAAACAGAAACATTACTCGGTGAGAAAACGTCTTCGGCAACAATGCTAGAGCTGCTGCTGGAAGCATTCCCCGACTTGCTAGATGTATGAAGCTTGTGATGACGAAAGTCAGAAGATGTTTGACTATCATTGTTCATTAGTTCATAAACCTCTCACAAACACAAAATATGAAGGAGCAACACAAACATAAAGCTGTAATGATGCTAACCCTATTAATAGTTGTACTTTCATTCTTCAACTTTTATGTCGCCTTAATTGTATACTGTTTTATGCTATCACTTTTTAAGTGCAATTACAATCAAAATACCTATTATTCATCTGTTCAGCTTTTTTTAATGCAGGGCGTTATTATTCTAGCATATGATTTCTGCACAAGCATGTGCTCCCGTGCTAAAATTGATCTACTCAAGGATTTGTTTTTCAAGATCAAGGTTGTGTCAACGATTTCTATATGATACAAGCTTCTTTGTGCACTAACAAAGCTGCCCTTTTGCCTGCTTTATCGGCGCGCTGTGTTGAGACCTCATGCAAACTATGCAATGGTATGGACCATGCACCAGGTGTTAACTAACTAAGGAGAAACTACTCTTCAGGCAAAAATTTGCCCCTGCAGACTATAGACGCTTTACACACGCGCCAGAATACAGCCGCCATTGCTGACCTTCTCTTGTTCTACCGAGATACCGAGCCACTGAAATTGGCATGGACGAGCCTCCACAAAGGCCAATGCTGGGGAGCAAGACAGAATAAAATTTAAGATGTCAATAACCTGGCCTGCTATGGTAATAATGAAGTGAAGTAAACGTAATAAGGGGGAACAGAAACTGAAGGTCAGTTATGGCGGCGCCCATGCACAGCTGCTGCAAAGCGTCTATATGCAGGGACTACAGTCCGAGAACAAAAAAAGGGGATGACACACCAGAGGTCCCAAATGCAGCTGCAATGTTTGTTCCCACTTTTTTTGTTTTAAGTACGACCACCAACCGACCCTCCAACACAGGAAGCCGGTTGTCGTCGCAGCAACTTTCAAACATACCGCACCTAACAACGACAGACTTCATGCGTTGGAGAGTCGGTTGTACTTAAAAACAAGAAAACAGGAATAAACGTCGCAATTGTATTTGAGGCCTTTGCGTGCGTGTCACCTCCTCTCCCATTCCTCGGTCTCAAGTTTTCGAAAACGTCGGACGAAATATGATTTTATTGCGCAGTATTAGAATGCCCCGTGAAATGCTCCCGATAAGCGCCGATCCAGGACATGGCTAACTCGACTCGAGTTGGGTCGCGACCGGTGCCATCTACAGGGATGGAAGGCAAACACGATACCAACTTTGTGGTAGACGTCGGGCGTCGAAGTGACGATAGTCGGACAGATGGACGTGACGCCAAATGGGAGCACGCCCTTGGCCACTTTGGCGACGGCTTCTCCTATGATGTCGACGTTGTGGGAGAAGTCCACTCCCATTCCACCTGTTGGAAGCAGAGAAGAAGAAGGCACTTCACGGCCAGAAACAACAGCAGAGATTTGGTTGGGGCACGCTCAGTTCGAAAGGGGAAGAACAAGAAACCCGGCGATGAGCAAACGGCAGTTTTGCGGCTGCGACGCATTACGAGTGGGGTTCCACGTCTTCGGCATATATACTGATGAACTCCGAAAAGTAATGCCAAAAGTAGTTTTATGGGAATCAGAAAAAATTAAAAACAAATCAGCAAAATGGAGCCGACTCTGGATGAGTAAAAACTGCAAGCTTCACGGTAAGAGATCTTTATCCACAGCTTTATTCTGTGTTGGCCAGGAACATGGCACCCACTGGAATGTTCAAGAGACTGATTCTATTTTCGGGAACTACGCCCCTTACTGATAGGCTGTCCCAAACGGACCTTCCGCTGTAAAACGTGCCAGAAAAAAATCGGCGCCCGCACGTAGAAAGTTCAAACTTTTGCCAAATGCGCACTGGGCAGGTCACTCTTACTATGTGAAACCTCAAGGCATAATTCTCTTCCCAATAAAAACAAGAGCGAAAATCTTGCCAAAGTCAAGGTTGGGCGCGTTTGCAGACGACCGAGTTAGCGACGCTATTTACTTGTGGTACCACCTCCCAACGGGCACAGCGAGCGGACGACACACTCTGTCATCTGCTCGCTGTGCCTGCTGGTAGATGGTGCCGCAAGTAAATGGCGTCGCTAGCTCGGTCGTCTGTGGATGCACCCAATCTCGACTTGGGCAAGTTTTTTAAGTCTCGTTTTTACCCGGAATAGAACTGCGCCTTGAAATTTCACACGATAAGGACTGACCTGCTCAGCGCGCGGTTGGCAAACGTTTGAGAGCTGTATGTGCAGGTGGCAATTTTTCCGGTTTGTTTTAGAGCGGAAGGTTTGTTTGGGACGTACTAAAGTTTCCTTGTCTCATCTGCACCGGGACGATTTCCAAGTATTTGGGTTTCACACACATGTTCCCAAAAGGTGTTCCTTGGGAACCTTGTGTCCTGTTTTCTTTGAGAAAGGTCCCAACAAACTCCGACTTTTTGTCTGACACCAAAAATTGACACCGAATATGTGGGGAAAAAATGAATTCCGAAAAACTGCCCTCAAATTCGAAAAAAAAACAAAAAAACTGAAATTTGAAAATACTAAATTTTACATATGAGATGTGCAAGATTTAGCAATAAGAGCTTTATAAGAGCAGTGATTTTTAGAGCAGCTTATCACTAGTCGTAACGCTGTGAACAGTTCCAGCACCCTGAAAGATTTAGGGACATTATGAGACTGCATAACTGTAAAGCTTCCACCCTGAACACTTCAGCTGTGAATAGCAAATTCAAGTATGCACATTCTGTCTGTTGTCTTACATTTGCTATGAACAGTCGAAGTTTGATCATCTCAATGTGCGGACACAGGTCAACATCACACCTTCCGAGTAATCAGAAGACATAATGAAGGTACATCAGCATCAATACATGGGGCACATCCAGCGTTGCAGGTAACATTGGTGGAACAACACAATAATGATAGAAAAATGCAGAGGGGGAGAAAATTGACTTAGAAGGGCGAGAGGGTGAATCATACTTTTGGATTCAAGGTCTCGTGGCACAAGCCACTGCCCGTTATAAATGGTACAACCATTAGCATCCATCCACCTGTCCGTGTTCTTTGTGCTTATGTATTGCCTCGTGCCACCTTCGGTTTGCAAGCACCTTGCTTTGAAGGGAACTGCTTGCTTCGGGCTACCAACGTGATACCCCATGCTGCCTCGTTCCGGACAATTTGCCATTAAACGGGTCCCCTTAATGACATTCTTCTCCTGGATCAACACAGCTGAAGTTCGATGCAATTTAAGAGAATCAAAGACTTAACGATCCTACAGCGTACACGGCTTGAGACAAGCCCACAATCATACCATTGATTTGGAGGTCAATGTACCCAGGAGAAATTATTGCCCCCTTGCAGTCAACTTGGATGTCGGCGGTTACTCGCTCTTCGTAGAAGATGGGCTCGGGATTGACGATTAGGCAGTTCCGAATCCACAGGTCTTCCTGTATGAGCTTGTGGTCCCGGAGTATGGTGCAGTTCTTGAATTGAACCAGACATGAGCTGGGCCAGTTCCCGTGGTTGGTGGTCATGGTGTGCTCTCAATCACTAAAAAAAAAGGACGAGTCAATGAAGCAATAATGCATTAATATATAAGTGGTGAAAACGTGAACTAAAAAGAATTGCAGACTGCGAGGCAGGATGGCCGACCAGCGAAGAGGAAATAAAAGTGACCAGCCTTTTTTTTCCCTGGGGAGCAAGCATGAGGCATTGTAGCTTCTCTCACCTGGCCAAAGGGCTTCCTAAACCAAGGAGCTAAGCTTGGATATGCTGTCTGGAGCGTGTCTCAAACTGCCGTGTTTGGCACGTCCTCGAAGATTAGGGTGACCAGATATCCTGTTTTGGCCAGGAGGGTCCCATTTTAGAGGTTCACTTCTACCGCCCCGCCACTTTTTCTGAATATAGCCAAATGTCTTGTTTTCATGGGAACTTGCTTGCATAATCAGTACCAGGCGAACGGAAGAGAAAAACAAAATTATTACTCTTGACAGTGTATTAGAATAAACATATACAAAAATGTTATCTCCAATATAGTATGATTTTCAGCTTTTTTTGCGACTCCACTTGCAGCAAATTTTGTTCGCGCAGATGAGTGTGCGGGACACTTCTCTATGTTACTATATTTGGCATGATTAGGTTTTGCAGGACGGGTAAGAAAGGTGCGTGTGTACCCAACTACTTGACGAAAACCCCCCGAAAGCTTGCGCTTTCACGGGAAACCGAATACAACCACAACTTTTCTCTCTTTCGGTCTCCCTTTGCTCTTCCCCTCCCCCCTTTTCCTTTTCCTCCCCTACCCTTCCCCATGATGTCCCGTTCTCAACTCCAAGAAGTTTGGGCACCCTAACAAAAATGGCCCTTCGATTTCCTTTTGATGACGTCGCAGGGGTGTCATGTTGCTGCCTACTGCGATCCTGGCAGCGGCACAATGGCGGAGGTGTATACAGCAGACGCCTGTTCTGCTGTAGTTCACTCTGCAGCCAGATGGCCGTCGAAAATCAAAGTGGCCATAAGGCGGGACGCTGCGACGATGGCAGCCCTTGCATCCGCTCGCCTTTTTTGACAGTTTTTTACGGCCAACCGTATTAGAAGCGCGACATCCAACAGCGAGGTTCCTGCGACACAAACAATCATTATCGCTTCGGGACCACTTGCGACGCATGGATGGAACAAAATGGTATAAAAACGTTGGTTGAAGCCACATCCCAGGCACTGTAGTTTGGGTAAGGGTCAAATTTTAATATTAGCCTTTATTTTACAACAGGATCTCGTACTGCCACTACCTCGTAGAGCCTTGAGCTTGGAAGGCCCTAAGATGGGGCGTTAAATCCACGGGTACAGAAAGAGAAAACGAGAGCGACCGGGACAGTTCGTCCAGACACCTTCCTATTTCTTCTGATAGTATGAATGTTGCAGGATTACCTACAGTGTTCCAGAAACTCCCCAATCATCGCAACTGACGGGTCAGCAGCGAATGAGAAATTATCTGTTGGCATCTACACCCCTAGCCTTGGATACGCCTTCCCTAAGCACCTTACCTGACTACACCCCGATCTTTGAAACCAAATTTCTCGCCATGGTTCTGGAAATGAAAAAAGTACAACAACAATGGAAGTTCTTATTCTAATCGACTCTCAATCGGTCTGCTATTCGCTGACCGGAAATAACGATTGTGTTTTCCTCCCGCGTTTCTGTGTGCTTGTGCCAACACACATTACTGAAATACGTTTAGCTTGCATTCCCAGCCACATTGATGACCTTGAAAATGAGCCTGCTGACCACCTGGTACGAGCTTCATTGGACTGTCCTGCTTTTGACGCTACCCCCTCTCTCTTCCCTTTTTGCCAAGTGCGCGCCACCACCGACACCACTTATTTTACACATGGCCAGAATGCAATTCTTTATGCTATGCCCAATTACAAGCATCTAATGTATTCTTGAAGGAATGATTACTATGAGTCCTGACAGTGCGAGGTACCACCAACGGACAAGGGATGTGTAGGATCCCTGATCTCAACTTTTCCTCGCACAGAATCGGCTTTTCCGTACACCTCTTTGCACAGACTGAAAAACCAGTGAAACTATTGACCCTCACTTATTTCCTCGCCAAAAATTTATGAGCCAGTGCCACCAATATTGGGTGCAACATACCCTTTTCAGTGCTAGGTGCATTTCTCACCAAGCATAACATGCTTTCATCTTGGTTCCACACGCAACATTCTTTGCTGCACCATCCATGATTACATTGTTGAATCGTTTGCTCTACTGACATCTAACTCCTGGTTAGCTCAGTTGGTAAAGTGCTCCACTGGAAATGGAGAGGTCCCTGGTTCGATACCAGGACCAGGCAAATTTTTTCGGTCGCGCACCTGTCACCTAGCTGTGTTTGGAGATTTGTGTTTGTCCTTTGCCCCCTTCTCCATGAATTATTATCTTTATTCTTGTCCAGCTCGCTTGCACCTTTCCATTAATTGCATTATCATAACCTTAAATGCAGGCCATTCACCCTTGTTGGTAGCAGCTCATAAAATCCGTTTGCTGTACTGACATCTAATCTTGGGGGGCTATGTTCGACAAATGTTTTGTTTTTCATGAAAAGAAACGGAAGTGACGATATCGCGTCTGATAGGTTAGAGGCTCAAATGACCAAAGAGGAAACCTTCGTCATTTGAGCCTCTAACCAATCAGATGCGATATCGTCACTTCCGTCACTTGGCGAAACAATACATTTGTCAAACATAGTCCCCCTGGTTAGCTCAGTTGGTAGAGTGCTCCACTGGAAATGAAGAGGTTCGCTTCGATACCAGGACCAGGTAAATTTTTTCGGTCACCCACCTGTCACCTTGCTGTGTTTGTCCTATGCCCCCCTTGTTCCCCTTCTCCAGGGATTACTATCCTCATTCTTGCCCAGCTCGCTTGCACCTTCGCATTAATTGCAGCATCAAACTATTATGTTGTTCCTTTCAATCTCCAAGACCCAAAATTTACACAACACAAAATCTAGTACATAAGTGATAAGTTTTCTTCCTTGGCTAATCCTCTCAAACTCGAGGCGCGCGTTTGAGTCCCAAGCGCAATCATTCAAATACTTCACGTTTTAAATAAGTTGAAAAACCAATAACCACCATTAAAAAAGAAAGAAAAAAAAAAAAGCGAAAAGGCTTTTGCAATGTTCTGGAATGCTCAATTCTCGACAGGTATGCAGTTTCTTTGATCGTTTTTTAAACGACAACTTTAAACGCCGAGGAGATACCACTCACCGCAGCGAGTCGGGAGCAGTCACTTATCGCAGAACCGTAAACTGTCGCAGTCATATGGTGCGAAGAACGACGTCAACGACGCTTCCAGAGCTTCGGTTTATCAGGCTTGATAGTTCTCAAGTGCATGCAAATAATGATAGTAACAGGTCGGGCACAAGCAATGACGACTTCCGCCCGTCGTGTGCTTAAACGACAATCGCGTCAATTCAAAACCAAGAATGCAAACGAGTTTTAGCGCCAGCAGCCACACGTCCCATTCATACGTCCTCCAAACATTCTCGCATTTTCCCCGCTTGGGGCAGTGAGAAAGGAGAATACCTAATTACGCAAAATGTTGAGAATCGGATTGTAGCTTGCGCCATCTGGAAGGAGACTATGACAATTGCTTTTCTTGTATTGCAAGTTACGGTAGTATTCGCGTCAAGGTTTCCGGTAGTCCTTTTATTCTGGGAAACTTAAAAGCATGACTACATTAGATCAATTTCACACTATTTGTTATATATTTGCCTAACGACCTCGACTTCACTACCTTCGCGAAACCTCCGCGGCAATCTCAGAACTACGATAACAACAGAAACTGGCGTCGTCGCATTTATTTCATGCTTTCCAGTATTTATGTGATGGAGCAGAGCTTCATTGAGGTCGTATACGAGGTCATGGAAATGGGTCTGATGTTTCTTCAATCTCGGAACTGCTCGATCACGTACGGGGCTGAAAGAGAATACAAATGCGTTAGTTCCAAGTCTAAACGCGTTCCAACTATGCAGAGAGATGAAACTTACTCGCTCGTATTAAAGCCACGAGCAGGGCGAACTTGAAGATTGTGTTCAGGGTCTCCGATCGTGCCCGCTGCTTTTCTTCGATGGGGTCGACACGCTCCGTTTTGGGCTGAGTGAGCTTCAACATTGCCGTAAGCGTTTATACTCAGGCGACTACCTGGAATAAGATCAGTGCCCGTCAGATCAGCTCGAGAACCCACGAAATTCACTCTGCACGTACACAACACCACTGAACCACGAACCACACGCAGACGTCCGCCGACCACGCACCACGCCAGCGGCCAACCACGCTCTTCGGAATCGGAAGTCCGGCGGTCCGGCTTGGCTTGGCCAGGCTCGGGCTAGGGCTCGGCTCTCCGGCTTGTTTGATGATGATGGTAGCTGAGCCGACGTTAGCGCCATTGGGTAGCGAGCGGGTGAGGTACGGACAGAGTACAGAGTTTTCGACTGAACGGCCCCGCAGCATGGAAAATCGTGTCGATACCTTACAGTGAAATGCGCTCATTTGACACTTACGCCACGGTTACATAGGTTTGCCCTCAAGCTGGACTTTTGAAACGTTTGGCGGAACAGCGAGTTTTCGTAACAGAATTGCGGCGTAACTTCGCGCTGCGTCTGTGTGCTGTGTCCATCACTCCGAGCGGCAGGCACGATGGGCCTTGTCGAAGATCTGAAGAGTCGGGGATGGTAGCGTTTCTTTCGTTCTTTCGTCGCTCGTTTATCAAGCTCAGTTCGTGTTCCTGAGATCCCTGCTTCTCTGTGACACCTTCGGTTAGCAAACAACTCTAAACGAACCGCGTAAAGCGAGCTCTCTAATGACACGATGTGCTTTTTGCGGTGACGGCGGCAGAGCGCTGAGAAAATTTTAAGCTTATAATTTGAGTGAATCCCGATGCATCGCAGTGTTTTGGACGCACGTTTAAAGTTCTCAGGTTCATAAGAGCGCTGCGCCGATTAAATTAAATTTTTCGTTCTCAGCAGTGTGTCACCGCATCGTGACACTGTTCAGATACAAATAAAACAGCGCAAATAGGAAAAGCAAGAAAGAACAAGTGCTGATTTCCGACTATCTTTATTTGGAATAGGACAGGCACGTAATACTCCTTCCTGCATTCGCAATGGACAGATTTAACTAATTTCAAATTATTGATTTCGTTGTATGGATATCACTGTTTTCAAATTTGGCTAGTTAGTTTTTCAACCCACCTGACCTACCTAAGCAGTAGCAGGGCAATGAAAGGGGAAATTGTCTGTTTTGGCGTGCACAGTTCCTTTTTTTCTGTAGGTTTCTGAGTGCTGAAGGCATCGAGGAGTGTACCGAAGGTTTGGAGAACCCCAAGGCCGAAGATGTCATACGGAAAGCGGTTAACGTGAGTTGCTTTTCCTTTTCCTTTTTTTTGCATTTCGTTCGGTTTCCCAACGATTGTTATACTTCTCTTTGCGTAAACTTACTTCTGCTGCAGTACGACCTGGTTGATATCGGAGAGGGTGGTCTCTCGGAAGACGTGACGAGGAACAAGGTGGAAACGGTGAGCTGACAAGACTTACTGCATTATTTAGGGCTTGTTCCCACTGCCAACGCAAACTCAACGTGTGGTCGTCGTAGCCATTTGAAAGGCTGGTTCACACCTTTGACTGTGACCAAGTGCGTTGTTATCTCTTGTAACCGCTTAACACAATGACGCACCGGTGCTATCTGTTGGGAAGACTGAACACTACTGACCTACATGCATATTTTTATGATTTTTTATACACCACTCTTCTGTGGTGCATGAAAAAATAAATAGGGACTATTTCTCATAAATGGTGCGTAGAAATTCTTGCAAATATTGCAAAACCATCACTCTAGTTGTGTGCAGATTAGAAGTGTTTCCAGGGCGAGCTGATAGATGGCGCCAGTGTGTTTAATAATAATAATAATAGTAATAATAATTATTTTTATATTATTATTATTATTGCACATAAAAATGGTTACAGGAGAGCACAACACATTCGGTCACAGTCAAATCTAACCGTGTGAACATGGTCTTTAAAAGGACACTAACCCCCCCCCCCCCCGCCCCGCCCCCCCAAATTAAAAAAGAAAGTATTTTGCCAGGCGTGGTGTTTAGAGGCTACACCATCAATATTTTGCTACAGCGTCGCATATATTTTTAATAAATTAAAATTACGCAAATGCTCGAAACTGAAACTGGACTAAGGAGGAAGAAGAGATATAGATAAGGAGAAAGTTACCAAAACTCACGTAGCTGTGCACCTTCTTTTTTTTTTTTTCAGTCAACATATTTGCAATTTTTTAGAAGCCACAAAAGCTGGGTATCTTATTTTTTGTCTATTTTTAGTATTGAGTGCTTGCCTTCGATCACCCATGACTTAGATTATATTTTGTGGTTGTGTCTAAACCATAGAAAACAGCACGTGACCACGAAGAAGAGAGTGAGCGCGACCCAAACTGGCCAGTTTTCGATCTATGGTTTTCGGGTGGAAAGAAAAGGAATTTCGAGCCGCAGTTTGTGTTCTGGGTAGTTCTGTTCTGGGTCATGTACAGATAAAAACCTTGACCACCATAAATGCCCTGTCAGTGTCCCTTTAAAACAGGGTGGAGAACAAAAATCGATGTAATTTAAATCATAATTTAAATTGTGATCTAAGTTGTAATCTAAATTGTAATTTAAATCGAAATTTAAATCCAACTCGAAAGGAAAGTCGAATAAAGTTTTTAATTAACTTAAAAAAAAAGATATCATGCGGTTTTTGTTCAAGTGTGGCAGAGATTACAACGATAAAAAGTTGTTAATTGAACTGCACTGTACATTTACAGGAATGTTTTCTCTCACATTGTTATCAGTGATAAGATGAATTGATCAATCAATCTGCCATGTCAAAAAATACGTATAGTTTTAAAGAGTCACCATTTCTTAGCTATAATGATTTGAATAAAAGTAATTGATCTAAATCAAATCAATCCGACTTAATTTTTTTCAATCCTGCTTTAAAGTCGCCACGACGACCACACATTCAGTTGGCTTTCGCGGGGCGAAGAAAAGCCTAGTTTTTACTCTTTTCTGTCTTGCGACTTTGAAGGCTTAGGCCCGCTTTAGAGGGGGCGGTTTCTCTGAGCACCAGGAACACGGTCCGCCCACATTCACACGTGGCAACTGAATCGCTACGATTTGCCATCACCATAATTAAACTTCAATTTTCTTATGCTATTTAGATGCACAGCTACTCGCTATAAACATGCTTTTATATCTTTAAATAGTGTAACCATCTCACCTTTCTGAAATGGTTTATTCCCAAAAATGATCCATTTCAAACTGGAACCGCCACAGGGGTGTTGCAAGTAAATATTGTGTTCCTGAGTGGCTGCTGCCACTTAAACGTATCCAAATTGTCCGAGTTGCCAGGATCCAGGGAAAACTGGGGAACGACTCGCCAGCAACACCGAAATTGCTGGCGAGTTGCCATCATCATTGCGAGCCTTTAGTTTCTATCATCACTGCCACAGGGGGCACCAAGTGAAAATATTGCGTCCCTGAGTGGCTGCTGCCGCTTCAAACATCTCAGAGTTTCCAGTTCAAGTCAGGATCTAGTCCGTGTTGCCGGGATCTAGGAAATCAAATGTTGGAGTTGCCAGGATCTAGAGAATCAAATATAGATTTGCCGGGATCTAGGGAATCAAATGTCCGAGTTGCCAGGATCTAGGATATCAAATATCAGTTGCCAGGATGTAGGGAATTGAATGTCCTAGTTGCCAGCCAGTCCGAGTTGCCAGGATCTCGGGAATCAAATGTCAGAGTTGCCAGAATCTAGAGAATCAAACGTCGATTTTCCAGGGTCTGGGAATCAAATGTTCGAGTTGCCAGGATCTAGGAAATCAAATGTCAGTTGCCAGGATCTAGGGAATCAAATGTCTGAGTTGCCAGGATCCAAGGATAATTAGGGAACAACTCGCCAGCAGCACCGAAATTGCTGGGAAAGTTGGCCCGTCTGAAGTGGTCCTTACGACTTGACTCTACTGCATCTTGTGTCGGCGCCTCATTGTTTCCAGATGACTGGGCCGGTCGTGGTTCAAATCCAGAAGGTGAGGAATGTAAGCGCTCCGAAGAGCAACCCGGAGGCGGACCACTCTCAGTGCCTTCTGAGGCTCCACCTCACTGACGGCACCTCGTACTGCAGCGCCATCCAGTGGGGGAAGTGGAGCAACATCAGGTGGGTTCAGACTGGGTTCTTTGAAGGGAAGCCGAAGCGGTTGTGTATTTAAGGAAAATCACTTAAATCGTCTTGATTTGGCCTCCAGGATCATGAATATCGAGATTTTTTTTCAATTTGATGCACAAAAGCTGCAGAAAATCATTTTTAAAGTACAGCTGAAGCCCCTCCTTCCCGGAGCGTTATGTCATAAAAGGAGTTTTCAAAATCTCCGCTCTCAATTCATCTTCAGCACCTGTCAAAGCTATGCATGCACACGTTTGGTATTTTCAAAAAGGTCAGAAGAAGACATCACGACTGGCGTGGGTTCAGGGGAATATACCCGGCAAGCTTGTAATTGCATGTGCTGCTCACACGAGCGACACGCGCTTGGCAGCTGAAAGATCTCAAATGACGTAACGATTCGTTGGAGGTTTTTCGTGTTTTCTCGCATTTAGTTACATCTTCGAAAAAAACGAACGTAACAATCTGATTCACGGGATAAAAGTCCTCTAAAATACACCTCTAACTGATTTTTTCAAAGAACCTCTTCAGCTTCCCTTTAGTGCCGTGAAATGGTTCTATTTCGCAAAATACTCCTCAGAACGAATCCTTGATGTTCAAAGTCTAAAATGCGCGCATTAATTTTTCTTTCACGCACTATGAGTCACAGAAAAATTTAGAAAAAATGAGCAGCGTTCTCCTCTCAACTTGGAATAAGCAGCCAAATGACATATATACCCAATGTTTGTCCTCGCCACGTGCTTTGCTTGGCAGTGTATGGGGCACCTGCTGTACTCCGGGTATTGTTAGAGGTTGGCTACTCCCATTACTGCAGCTTATGACTGAGCCTTAGTGCTCACTCAGTGCTGGTGCCACACATTGGCCATATTCAACTACGTCAGCCTGGGGTGTTCTTTGCAACCCTGTCAATGTTAGAATCAAAAGAGGTACTTCTCATCCTTGAAATTAGTGTGAGTAAGAAGCTTCCGGCTCAGTGGCATTGCATGCGAGTAAAATTGGGTCACACTTGTATATCAGTATGCTTGCGTTAAAGGGGCGGTGCAACAACTTGCGGACTTTGGCTAATTAATTGCGGGAATTGATCCCGGCCACATATAAAACGAAGGACCGAAAACTATACTTTCTGCTTGCCCTAGTTTTCATTAAAAAAAATAAAAGAAATTGGTATCTCCGGCACCCCTCAACTCAACATTGAAGCGGCACCAGCTTCGCCTGTGACGTCATTCGGAGTGGCGTTGGTTTCCGGTTGGGTTCTTCTGGCTTCCGTTTCCCCAGCGCTCGCCGGCTCGCCAGGCTCGCCGCTCTCCCGCTCTCCCGTCGATTCCCGACCAACATGGCGGCGCGGCGGGCAGTCGAAGTCAAAGTCGAGGTCGAGACACCAGGAACAATAACGATACCACGATACTACGGACCACGACCAACGCACTCCGTCGAGCGAGGGAAAGACAAAACGTCCGGGTTGCTCGTGTAGCCGCCGTAGGCGCCACGGGCGTCGACGGATGACGGCGACGGCAGGTTCTGTTGACTTGCGGTAGATGGCGCCACAAATAATTCATACCCTTTTAGCGGCAATATTAGGCTTTTGAAGCGTTTCTGCATGCCTAAACAACAAGATTTTTTAAACTTAACCTTAAATCAAGCTTACAATTGCCTAACACTATCACTTACAAAAACTACTCCGAATGACGTCACACCACAGGTTCCATTTGGGGCCACCATGTGGCCGCAGGTTGGGAAAAAAAGGGTTTTTTCTTTTGCGATTACGCAGCGAAATAAAGGTATTTCGGGGTATGGTGGTACTTTTTCTCTTACTTGTGCCGAAGTAAACAATATAAAAAATACAAGCTGCAGATTTGTTCAGTGTTAAAATCATTGCACCGCCCCTTTAAGTGTGCAACACCTAAACCTGGTCATTGTTTCATGGTCCTTTTAAAGGTGCATTTTTGAGTATACTCTTCTTTTGTGACATAAGTAAAAAAATATTTGTTGTGTGGAAGTTTAGACAGCAGAATGTTAGTGGGCATCAATGGGAGTCTCGCTCATGTCTCTGCTGTGGATGAGAAAGCTAGCCGGTGCAGTGCAACTTCTAGCTTGGGGTCTTTAGCGTGCATCAGGCAGCGCTGATACGGGACTGCTCGCCGGTACGATGCTCATCCAAATTGGAACGGTCAGGGGTAGGGGTCGAACCCAGGAATGACCCTAGGTTGTGTAGCAATGGGAGAGCATGGAAGAGATAAAATAAAAAGCCTGTGAGTTGTTTTTGTGTGCTAACAAAGTTTGCTACATAGCTCCTTGTCATTGTCTGAAGCAGCACTTAGCAGGCTTGTGTCCCGCATAGAGGTTGCAGGTTTGAAAAAGAGGATTCTTTGCAGTTCACGTGGAGCATGTTGCTTATATCAAGTAACCTTTAGAGATTTCAGGTTTATACCTTTGAATAATTTAAAAAAAAATTAGTGATGTCGAAACTGTCGTAGGATGTGTGGAGTTTTACTTTGTTCAGTATTTTCATGTATATACCGTAGTGCTAGTATGTTTGCTGCACTTTTTTGGTCTGTGCTGTGATGTTCCATCGGAAAGGCATGTTGCTGTTGGTGGTCAATATAAACAAACAAACAGATGTACCGACTTTTGTTTTCATCTTTACGTTGTGACTCGTTTATTGTTCCCGCGCGTTTCAGCCTGTCCACTCCGCCCGGGAGCAAGATTCTGCTCAAGAACGAGCCCATTCCAGTTGTGAACGGTTTTCTCCTACTGGCCGAACGGGACTTCAAGTTCCTCGGCGGCAACGTGTCCCACCTCATCGAGAAATGGGAGCTCGCCAAGGTGAGGCCTCTGAAAGGGCCACCGAGGTGCGCACGTCCTCGTAACGGCTGCCATACTCTGTTCAAACCTACTCCAACAAATATTTAAAGCTTGCGGGGAGCAAGTCGTCTGCTTCTTGCGCAGGGGTTGCGGTGACATGAAAGTGACGCCGAGCTCTGGTTGACTTTGATTGGAAGAATAGTGGGTGGACCTCAGTGCTAGTTGCCTCGAGGCCTACTCGCTGTTTGTTTTCAATCAACCAATAAGAGCGTGGCGTTCCGACGTCATCGCAACCCGTGTGCAAGAAGCAGACAAACTTGCGCTCCGAAAAGACCTTTTGCAAAAGATCCGCAAAGTCCTTACTCCCATGGCCTCTACCTTATGACACTGAATGGAGCGAGGGAGAAAGGAGGAGAGACAGTTTCTCGCGTGCCCTTGCCCGCTTGCCCGCATTTAATTTGTCGCGTACGTCGTCTGCTACAACCTGTTCCGTACATGCCATTCCTGGCATCTTTTTCGGCGCCACAGACGGCGTCACACTTTTCGCAACAGATCTATCTCTGATCATTTTCCCAGGGATGACTAGAATTTAGAAAACAAAATCTGGCAGTTTTGAAGTTCAGTTAATTTATAGTCATTTTTGCATCGAGGGGCACTCAAGGAAGCCTAGCAGCACTCTGAGTGTTGGTGATACTTTTGCCACATTGTCGCGAGACTTAACTTTTTGGCGGGCAGGATCACTGAAATGTGCATTATGAAATAGAAAATTTGATTGAAAATTCTATTCTCTCTTGTGAGTTGGGCACAGAAAGTGAGGAAACATTCATCGGTCCTGTGCTTTGTCAAGCAGGAAGGGCCCAAGCCACGCACTCGTACCTGGGCTTCCTATGGTGTTGTACGTAACCCACGAGATGCTAGTGTATCGTTGACAGTTCTTGGGTACGTCCGACATAGAGCGATGGATGTCAATAAAGCTCTTGTTGAAAATCTAAAGGACCTTTGAGTGCCAGTTGTTGCCCCCTTAGACATTTTTTAAAAATTCTTTTAGCTTTACCGTTACCCTCTTCAACATGCCCTTTGCTTGCTGCTTCCCATTTCCCAAGTATTCTGTGAACAACAAATAGCACCGCCAATTATTCAATTTCTCTATCGTATTGATGCGCGCTCAAATTGCCATTGACATTTTTTTTTCTATTGCCACCTAAATCCATTGGAACAGCATCACATAGATTCATGCAATTCTAGGGACTCTCTCCACCTTATGCTGGGAGTAAATGAATTGAATTGAGAACTATACTGTAGTCACCGACAAGCGCAGGGTGTGGCGGCTGATGGCGCAATTTCATTGGCCGCAGGGCGATAACCTGGTGATTGGGACTCGCCACACGTGCTATTCATAAGCCGTCAGTGACTACAAATGACGTCGGTGATTGAGCGAAACGTGCCTGTTAATTTGCTTCCCTGTACACTCCTTTTATGCCGGGAAACCAAAGAACCTGAGCCACCACAAACGGATTGTTGGCGAAGAGGGGGCCGCCCCTCCCTGGGTTCCGTTCGGACACAAGATCGACGCCGGAGGCCTCAAGAACATGAAAGGCAAGTGTTTTGCTTCAAGTGCCTGAGGCATTTTAGTCCCTCAGTTACCGTTCACGAGCGTCGCTCGTGTCGTCCATTACGCGCCAAGAAGCTCGACCATGACCCTAGCTTGTGTTTCAGTTTCGAATTTTCGTGCGGAAGGAACGTCAATTTTTGTTGTCTGGCATGGTAGGCATGAAAGTTAACAACCTGTGTATGTGTCATTTGCTGAACACTGCGGACGTCCATGCACCTCAGTTATAGGAAAGCTCATAGTTAATTTTCTATTGGACATTTAGCTTTATGGCATAACTTTGCGCAATGAAGCAACATTTACTGTACCTTTTGGGCCATAGTCTACGGAATATGCATGTTAAAACTACAAAGTTCTACCTTGTGCGGACCATCTACAAATGCAAGCTATACAAGGATTTTTTTTCTAGATTGTTCATTAAATAAGATGTGAAGAATTTTATGAAAAACAGAGTATGTTAATGTTGATTTATGTACGATACAAGCTTTTTTTGTGAACTAATACAGCAAGCACTTGTCAAGCTGTGCTGTGTTTGATAATTTTGACATTTGGATTAGTTGCTAAGTCAGAACTATGCACGGCATGCGGACTATCTAAGCTAAAACTTGTATTTTTGACCCCAAATTTGCCCCTGTGGACTATGCACCGGTTAAGGACTGGAGTCCTGAAAATATGGTACCTAGCCGAGATAAATTTGGAATTCATTGATAGCTGTGTAGTCTAGTTGCAGCTCCAGTGCATGTAAGAGGCAAACAGGGATGTGCAAAAGTGCTCAAGACCCAGCAGCAGATAGCACATACTCTTATTCAATTTGTCGTTCGTCAGATCGTAGATCGCGAGAAAGGCAACATTTGAAAGACCGATATCAGCATCCATATTGGAAGCAATAAATAAAACAAAAATTTAAAATGATGAACGTTCAGTTGAATTGTCGCATGTACAAAAGAAAGCACACCAAACGAAATTGTGCATTTCAATTATAAGCTGCTCATCAACCAGAATTAATTTGCCCACTAGTGGCATTCATTAACCTTCCTTCGACGGGGGTTAAGTTACCACTAAAGTATACTATTGGTGCCACTTAGTCACAGACTGCAACTCTGTAATCCGTTTACGGCGTGCAACCCTACGAAACGTGTTGTGGAATTGATTCCATTCCTGTCATAGTTTCTAACAAAAATTTAGCTTCTTAACATCTTTCGGTTTGGCATTTTAGTTCCAATCTCAGTCCCCGCTTTAAATACATAGTCTCGAGCAGTGAAACGACCGAAGCGACTTTTGAGTCTTCGATGCCTCATTCCTCCGAGCGTGTCCTCCCATTTTGATTTGACTTTTTGTGGCGATTGTCGGAAGACTGTACAAGTATATACCGAAATGGGTTTCAGAGTTTCGTTTCATGGCTGTTACATGCAGCAGGAGTGACCAGTTTTTGATGTAGAAATGGAAATTTTTCGTGTGCTGCACGTCGGTCGCGATGCTGCCAGCGTCATTTCGTGGGAATCAGATCGACTAAATAGTTACGCTTAGAGTATCGCACTCCGATTTTCTTGTTCGCGCATTCATGTTGGTACCGAGCGTAGAGCGAGCGCAGTGGGCGATTGTTAAGATCTGAAAATGAGTCTTCCTGAAGTTTAGATACCCTGTGAGGAAGCTCGGGAGGTATCGTTTTGCTCCGTCGCCAACCGTTTTAACATATTTGATGGACAAGTGGGCATTTCCTGCGATTTGTGATAAAGCTTTGTATAACTGGCAACAATGATTCTGAGCACCAGGATGGTGCTCAGAATTGCTCATTTGGCGACTCCTTCGCCGGGGGGAAAGAGGCGGGGTTAATGTTTTTAGTTTTTTTGCCCTATACCCCCATAAGGTCATCCTGGTGATACGGTATCCCACACCGCCTGGCGACAGTCATGAAATTTCAAAGGGGAAGCAGATTGGCTTAGAAAGGTAAAGGGAGGAGTCATACTTCTGGTTTTTAATTTCTAGGCTAGGTGGCGCAAGCTACCGTTGTTATGAAGGGTACAGCTGTTAGCATCCATCCATGGCTGAAGGGTCGTTACTTTGAAGCATAGCTTAGTGAATGGCTCTAGTGGGAGGAGAAAACAAAGGATTCGGATAGTCACGACATGTGTCGCCGACCGCAGGCAACTTCAAGTCCATGGACCTGTGCCAGAAGGACACCAAGCCCAACGAGTCGTTCGAGAAGCACCGGCAGCTGACCATCGCTGAGATCTCCCGCTCCAAGGAGGGGAAGGTCAAGGTCTTCGGAGGCGGCAAACAGGTGTGAACCTTGTCTATATTGCTATCTGTGTTTCCCCCCCCCCCCCCCCCGCCCCCTCCTCCCCACCCCCCCTCCCAAAAAAAACAACAGCATGCAATGGTATAGTTATTTTTTAAAAATGTTTCTACCATAAAGGTACTTATCGTGACATCTCAGTGAACAGCTGTCCGCATTACAATAGCCTGCTCCTAGTCTTTGCTTCATTTTTCGGTTGTTGGCTAAATGCTGAGAAACTGCAGATCTCTAAAAGAAATCGTGCCAGGATTTATTAGGAAACGGACTGTTCAAAGTTTTTCTTTCTCCCAGTTGTCGTCACCACTACCGACACCACTCCCGGACCTTCGGTTGCATTATCTATCCATGTCAGATGAGCCTGCTAGCGGTAATGGAAGCGTTGTACTTAGGCGGGCACCATGACTGTTGTGCAACAGCGGCAGGCGAGAATGCATTCTTTGGCTTGCAGGTTTTTCTGTATGTTTCATTTTTGATAGTAACAAAGGAAGAACCAGTTTGTGTGTAGCGCTAAACCGAGTAAAGCCTTTGGTAAAACGTTTTAGTACATCGAGCGGCTTCAGAGCCGAGCGTGTGCCAAAAGTTGAATTTGACTCGAGTTTGAAACCAACACACGCAGAGCTCACATCATACATTCTTTCTTCTAACTTCGTAGACACGTGGGCCTTCTCTCCGACACTGGGGCAGTGTCTTCAATTTCTTCTTTCTTTAACCACCAAAAGGTGGCTAAAAAAAGAACTATAACACAACTGCCGTGCACTCGGATGATGATTGCAATTGAAAATACCATAGCCACTAACACAATGAGAACGGCAGGGCATTGTTTTCTGAATGCTCATCCCCCAGCACCTGCACTCAAGGTGCACAAAAGGTTGAAGCATCGTGGGTAGCAAGCTTGCACTAGGGGCGGGACAACCAAAGATCTTCCTTGTCGTTCCCACCTCGCCAGTAACTATAAACTCAGTTTCGGAAAGGTTTTATCGCACTATGTGTCGCTGCGAGATTGCAAGTGTCCCCGGTGAAGCGTCTGCAATGACTGAATGCGGTTACTCTACAACGTTGGACGGGACGCCTTTGCAGCAGCCACAGGACGGGGACATTGCTCAGCTGGTGAGCATCGGCTACTCGGTAGAGGCGGCGGTGAGCGCGCTCAAGATGCACAACTGCGACATCGGAGCGGCGCTCCAGGCGCTCGAGATATCCGACAGGTTCGGCGCCAACAGGAGAGACAGGGCCAACAGGCCCGGTACGTATAGCGCTCATCTTGTACGCTCTTCGCTCGTTTCTAAATTTGTTTCGAAATCCTTGGTACACCAGTTTTAGTACCACATACCACGCTTTCCTGCCCATAGGTCGCATTTTGTTGTCTTTTTTTTCTAAATTTTCAATATTGCGTTTTATAGATAAAAAGCTGGATTGCTGGGCTAAGTGTGGTTGTTGAACGACACAATTAAAGGCGGCGCAAAAGGGCGGGACAAAAGTAGAGGGAGCACGCAGGACAGGTGCTGACTGACAACTAAATGTTTATTGGAAATTTCACACGTGCACAGTGTCTCGCACTCACATGATCATCGAATAACATGTCTGTGTGGGGTCATACCATAATGTTAGATCGGCACTAGGGAAGCCCGAACGTTAGCTCGTGTAAACCAGTGGCGTCACGCTTAAAGATGCAATAAGGGGGGAGAGAAAACGCGCATAAAATAAATGATTAATCGGCGTTGATGAATTGCTGCTGCCTGCTCGTAAAATGCACTGTTGCGGCACCGATACAGCAATATTTCTCCCACCTGATTACATCTCTATGTCTGACGCCACTGGTTTACACGAGCTATAGTTCAGGTTTAGCTGGTGTAGATTTTACTCCGTGGTACGACCCCACACTGATATGTGATTAGACAAATGCGTGCACGAGTGAGACACCGTGAGAATGTGGAATTTCCAATAAACATTTAATCGTCAGTCAGCGTCCGTTCTGCGTGCTCCTTCTACTTTTGTCCCGTCCTTTTGCACTTCATAAGACAGCTGCGCACATTTGCCACAGGGGTCGTATCTCTCGTTCGACTAGTCGGCAAGAACATCGAAACTCGCTCCCATTTGCGCACGTGTCGCGATCACAACACACACGTGCAGGCTTATCAATTTTACCGTGTGGCAGGGGCATTCCTCGGGCTTGCACCTGTGACTGTACACTTCTGATGCGGGTGCCGCGCATGCGAACGAAAGCCCGACGTCGAAGCGAGGGATGAACAAGCATTTCTTTGTCGTCTGTTTTTTCCGTTTCTTCCAGAGACGGGCAGGAAGAAACGGGAACCGAGGGAACGCGACTCCCAGGACGAGAAGTCAGCGGGCAGGCCTTCCGGACCCAGCACTCTCTTCGACTACCTGCAGAACCAGATCTCCCTCCCCAAAGGCAAGTCACCCTAAAGACGAACTCCGGGTCGTAAACTAGCACAGGGACGGAGTTCTCAGACATTCCAACCCCTATCTCCCTCCACGATCGGACGAAGAACCCTTCCCGGGTCAGGCATAGACGTAACGAAACAGTGCGGGAGCGTGTAGACCTTGTAAACAATAAGGCACATACTAGGGAGTGTTTAGCTCATGCGGTATAAGCCTCATTACAACTAGGGTGCATATTTTTTAATGTTTACTTATAAGAAAAATCGGCAGATGTTTTTTCTGTGTTTATTTGGTTTTTCAACACCGGTGTATTTTGGTAGAACAACAGGTGACGAAACTTAAAACGGTGATTATCAATAAAAAAAGTTCACTTGCAACGGAAAAATTGTGCGGGACGGACACATTTCTTGAGGCAGACTTGCAAATTTTATTTTTAGACCCAGTGTTGCCGTTGGGCGGTTGCAAAAGACAACGTAGTCAAAACGTAAGCCAAAGTAGCCGAAAGTAGTTGTTTTATTTATTTTTGTGCCAAATTTGTCGCAGCTATATTTCTAAGGAAGAAATGTCATAAAAAGTGGAAAACAGACAAGGCTCTGTAATATACCCTCAGACAGCGTGAATTCAGCTTTAATCGGGGCGAGGATATTCAACCAAGAGTGTTTTTCAGTTTTAACTGATTTTTTTATTTTTGACACCGGTGGACGTTTAGTATTGGTGTTTTTCGGTGAAAACCGGAAAACAGCCGAATTATAACAGACCTTGATAGCGATAAAGATTTTGGTCTGTCGTAAGAGGTGTTTGCAGAATGCAGATGCTCTCACTACACACTTTGACATGGATTACAGCCGGGTTCTGTTCTGACCAGTGAGACTGACGTGGTGATTCCATCTGTCCGCAATGCGGGTGGAGAGAAACATCCGCACTAACAGCACGAGCAAGGGTACAGAGCACGAGCTCTTAGCAGGTCATTCCAGTGCGTGAGCGCTGCATTGGCGCCTCCCATGTTTTCGGCCTGGCATGCATAGCATTTGTTTTGCTCCAAGTTAGTGTAAAACAAAGCGTAGTTCTGCTTTTCACCACATGAGCCGTGTCGATCAATTCTCGAGGCGAATAACGAAGACGAGCTAGCGTAATTTGAGTGAACGTTTATTGTTGTTTTTCTTTTAAAGGACACATGCAAAGGAAAAAAACATTTTTTTTTTAAACAGCTTAGATGGAAAAAGGATGTCATAAAACATTTTTACAACGAAGAAAAAAAAAATTTAGGGCTTTATTTACGGCGCTATACGAATTTGTAGTTGGTGCCGCGGGAGCCGCCGCTGGTCACGTGGTAGGCCCGCGCACCGCCGCCGCAAAGTTACGCTGCCGACGCACGCTGAGCGTTGTGCGAACGCCGCTTCAATGCGTTTCTCCACGCCGCCGTCGCCGCACAAGTTCGTCTGCTTCGGGGCGCCGCCGCCATCGTCTGACTGGCGCACAGGTCTATCGCGTCTGCTTGTGCTTTTTCAGGAGTTTCCTTTGGGCTCTAAAAGTTACCTATTAATCTTAGTTTTTTTGTTATACTTCAAACAAAGATGAATAAGTTACTTTTAGACGCCATACGAAGCTTCCAAAAGAACGTAAGCACCACGTGATAAATAAGGGCCAGTCACGTGATAAATAAGGGCCACTTTTCCGCGGCGCCGGCGGGCGCCAACTACAAATTCGTATAGCATCGTAAATATAGCTCTAAAATTATTTTTTTTCTTCGCTGGCTGTAATATTGTTTTATGACATCCTTTTTCCATCTAAGCTGTTTAAAAAAAGTGTTTAAAGTGTTACTCAATGTTTTGCCATCACAAGTTAGTTCAAGTCACTGTAAATGGTTAGGGAGAGTTTAAAGAAAATAAAAAGTGGTTTTATAAATATTCTCGTACAAGTTTGCCACATTTAGAGAAATGAGCTGCATTTCTGTATTAATAACAGAACTACAATAATTGCCAAGCATATATTTCTTGTACAGTGGTAAAATTAATTTAAAGATGATCATTTTGATATATTTTGCATTGTTTTATGTGAAGTAGTTCGTTGGTAAATAATTTGAGAATCTGTCTCTAAAAAGTGTTTATTTGACATGTTTTGTAAATATTTTTGCATGAAAACCTTTTATTGTAATCTTAATTTTTGGTGTACATGTCGTAAACATTTCATAAAATGAGTAGGAAAGTTTATTACTACAAGCATGCTTTGATGGGAAATTGATGGCTGTGCAAAGTACCATTCCGAAACATTGGCAATCTGCACGGCTCGAACTTCCAATTTTTATATCGCCGAAAGACAATTAGCTACGATGTTCGCATTTAGCTGAATGCTCCTCCTAAGAATGTGACTTTAACCTAGATTTTTTACATAAATATAGTATAAAAAATATTATCTGAACCGTCATTGCACAATCGAATGTGGGAATACTTGTATGTTGTGCCATCTGTAAGTAGGAACGTCAACCAGATGGTCTTTACAGTTTTTCTCCCCGTGCGTAGGGAAAAAATTGATTTTTCTAGGCTTACAATTTTTTTTCCAAAACCTACACTCACGAAATTCGAGTTAAAAGCACCACCTAACGACACCTTTGTGGAAAGCTTCATTGCACTCGGTTCGTTGGTTCCTTTATACAATTGTTTTCGCCCCCGAACGGCGCTCGGAAACACTGTAGCGGCCGGCCGTAAAACGCATGCTGCGCTAATAAATAGGAGTCTGTCGAGCGTGTCGCAAGAGTCCGCCCCGTCTGCGTGCACAGTGCCCGACGTGGAAGACGCCCACCTCTGTGATTTTGCATCCTCCGAGAGTGGCCAGCTCGCGAATGACGTGAGCGACCGGAATACCCGGGGCTTCCGGGGGCACCCCAACGGCGGGGGGCACACCGCTGGCCGCTATGGGCAGCACCAGCGGTTCCGTGGCAGCCAAGATGGCCGCCGGGGCGGCGATGGAGATCTTCCCTACCACAACCACCAGGACGGTCCGTCTTCCGGCTTCCACGGTGGCAGTGCGGCAGCTTCGTTCGGGAGGCAGAGGGTGAGTCAATTTCGACGTAGGACATGTTTTAGGGGCGAAGCTCCTTAGGGTCTAGCCTTGTCCGTCCGGCGTTCATGCTCACGTCGATTGCCATCCCATCTGTCTTTTTAAAAAAAGAAAAAATGTTTGCGCAGCTGACAGGATTCGAACCTGTGTGGGGAGACCCCAATGGATTTCTAGTCCATCGCCTTAACCACTCGGCCACGTCTGCAGGGCGAGTAGGGGGCTCTGAGATGTGGTAGTAACTCAAGAGCTGGGGATGTCATGGATGAAACGTTGCATGTAGCTGCTCAGCGTCTATACAGGAGGGAGAGGGCGCTGCGGTCAAATGTGTATTAATTGCGTTAAGCTTTGCATGCATTGGCTCAATGTTAATAGACGAGAGGACGCTGCGGTCAAATGTTCAAATGCGTATATGACCACAATCCATACCACACATTCTCTTTCTGACATGGACTGTTGACTTAAGCGGTGGAGATGCGTTCCCACGGCTTCTAGCGGATCCAAGCTGATCCGCTAGAAGAACCACTGGCTCTACATTTCACCGACCATAAAGCATAGAACTCAGCACTACCTATGAGCAATAAAAAAAAAAATCAGCACCATCAGCACTACCAATGAACAATAAAATCTGTATCATCAGCACCACCAGAGCTTCGCGCCAATCAACATCATTCACCACGTGGAGATGCGGTCATTTTTTTGTTTATATTTTTTTTTTTGCCTGAATCTGCAAGAGCACTGTCACAAAGAACCGTCGCTTCGATTTCCCCCGTCGCAAAGAACCATCGCGTCGATTTCTACCGTCGAAATCGCGCGACTGCGTCATGTGACCTCTTCGCTACCTTTTGTGGGGGAAGTGCCGTCATGTGACGACATCATGTGACCACGTCATGTAACCAGGTTACGTGACATGCGACCGAGCCTCACGACATAGATTTCTCCACTAAGTTAGGAAGAAAGTGATGTCATGTGACATCAACTTTCCCGCTAAATTTAGTGGTGAAATTGACATCATGCGATTACGTTATGTGAAATCGATTTTCCTGCTAAATTGGCATCATGTGACCACGTCGTGTGACCTCAAGTTACGAGACATCAGTTTCCCCGCTAAATTTAGCGAGGGAAGTGATGTCACCCAACATAAATTTCCCACTAAATTCAGCGGGGATGTTGACGTGACACGACCTTGTCACGCCACCTCAGATCATGTGACGTCAATTTCTGCAAGGTGGTAGCTTGCACCCAATGCGTTCTGTGTGCTCCGGTCTTTGTCAGCGTGATCAAATTTGCGTAATTTTTTTTTTCTCAGTTTTGTTGTGGTCTTCTTGATAGAGATTAGTTTGGAAGCTGCCGTATTTATGCGATTGCAAGTCAACTAAAAGCTGGTTCACAAATTTGCATTTGTGTCTGACTTAGTGCAGGGATTCTCGAACTCTTCGATCTCGAGATCCCCTCAGCCTTTTCGTAACTCTCAGGCACTGTGGTATATCACTCGGGCGACTGTTTGGGGGTATCGGGCAAAAAAAAAAAATAGAGGAGACTGTAGACCAGTGTTGCCAATTTAGCGGTTTTCTTAGTTGTCTAGCGGGAGGAATCGCCGTTTTGCGGTTGGCGGGACTTTTAGAGGTTTTAGAGTCAGCGCTTTTCTTGCCGGCCTGAAATGTCCTCTAGTTTACATTTGTCAATCGTAAATAGCCTAATTTCTGTTGTTAGAGTAATTTGGTCATTGTTTTTGTTCAATCTCAACAAAGTGAAAATGTTGCTTGTGACACCATCGAGTTATTTCGGGGGCCAACATCGAAACATGGTGTTAAAACGGTTGCTCTTGGACTGCTCCTCAAAATTAGCAGTATTTAGCGTTTTTTTTTTTTTTCTTCAGTTGACAGCATTGGTACAGACAGTCTATTGCACATACCTTTTGTTTGGCTTAGTCATGTGTCGACGAGTGGCTGATAAAATAGTGCTTAATTGGATGCTGAGCCGTAATTTGGAGCTCACAAGACGAGGCTGGAGCAATAGGCAGGACATTGCAAAACCTCGAAGCATCGCTCGAGCAGCGACATCTTTAACGGTTGGCTGTATTTTAGGAAAAGAAGTGCGCGTGGGAACACGGTCAGCGAGACACTAGACACGACTGAACACTAAAGAGACCGGTCGGGGACATGGTCGAGGCACCATACCATAACTGGACACATTTTGTCTCCAGGGACGCCAACAGGACACGCACAACTGGAACAGTTCTCCATCGCCGTCGTGGACCAATCACCAGGCGTATGGCGGCCGTCCCGCCGCCCGGGATCCCCCTCTGGCTCCGCCCACTTCCCGGGACCCGCCTCTGGCTCCGCCCCAGGGCGACGGCGGCGACCGCAGAAGGCCGACGGTGGCAGGCGCCGAGATCGTGCAGAACGCGAGGCCGCCTCCGCCCCGCGAGCGCAACTTCCAAGAGGCGTCGACGCGGCCGGCGCAGCAGAGGCGCGTGGCCTCCGGGCAGAAGGTGCTGGCAAAATACTGGGAGGACGGAAAGGTCAGTCCAGCAGCATTCTTTGTTCTCTCGGCTCTCTATGGTGTGGCCAAACTTCTATTTCGTAAACTGATGTGGAAGCTAAGAGCGGAAGAATGACAAACAAGGAGTCTGATTAAGACGGGTCCTCCATGAATACGCGAAAGGTTACAAACACAGGAAAGACTGGTCCTCCACAAACTTACGAAAGACACAAGTCCTTCGCTAACGCACAAAAGGTTACGCGAGTGCTACACTTTCTCATGAAATGAATCTTTAAGAGACTGTTGAAGGCTGGCGATATAAATTTGAGTGTGGCCGAGTGCTTTGTGCTCGCCTTTGACCGGTCGATATGATGTATGCCTGGCCCACATCGTCATACCCTATTTTTATAAGTAATTTGGTTATGATACCAGTTTTAATGATTTTGTTTTTGAAGGTCAGGGTTAATTTGATGAAATGAATTTAAGGGGACATGCGCCAGAGGAGAATATTTTTTTAAATTATTTCCTATATACAGAAAATAAATTTTTACAGTTTATGGTGCTTAATCTTCTCTTTATAAATCTGCTGTTAGATTTGATATACTTGTTTTTTAGATTCTCGACGCAATGTACATGCAGAAAAAAAAACATGTTCTTCTGATTTTTTTGGCACTTAGAAAAGCCTAGTAAAATAAACTAATTCGCTCCTTTTAAGCCACTGAGTGCAGTTAACAACCAAAATAATATGTGTGACACAAATTTCCTTTTAAAATAATTAAAAAGAGCAAAATATCACATTTCAAGGGGCTAACGGATGGTTCTTAAAATTTTTCTAAACATAACAAAAATATACATTCTAACTAAACCTAGATAGTTGCATTGTATTATTCTAAAATATATGTATGGCAAATTTGGTTGTGATAGGTCATTAAGAACAGAAATTATTGTGCACAAGCTGTGCAGATGCCCCAAAATTACATAAACAGAAAAACACATTTGAATGTTACCATGATGTGCAGCTATACTCTTTCGCGGTGCGGGCAATAATATTTTGTGGATAAATTTCCGTGAGAAAGTGAAGCTACAGAAGTCGTCAACGGAGAGGAGACAGTTAGGCCTACTTGTCAACTCAAATGTGATGGCGGGCGATGTCACAACTTAAAGAACACCACAGAGAACAATTCATGGGTCAAATGCATGCTGTTCGGCGTTGCGTGGAGGTCTTCAAATGCGTACGTATTCGACCGATTTCGCAGTCATGACCGGCACAAATTATTTTTATGTATCAAATATAAAGATTGAGAAATAATGAAACACCATAAAACCATATGGTTTTATGGTGTTTCATTATTTCATTATGCAGATCGAAAGCTGGCAATATTTTACAAAAAAAATGTGATATATATATATCACATTTTTTTTGTAAAATATTGCCAGCTTTCGATCTGCATCTCCCTTTAAAGGCCAACGACCAGTTTACGCTTCCCACTTTTCCCTCTCTTCCTCCTCTCCTGTTTTCCACTCTTTCCACCGTTGTCGGTTTCCTCCTCCCTCGTTCCCTCCCTCTCTACCTCCTTGTCCCCTGCTCCGCTAAGCTCATGGCGGCTAAGCCATACTCCAACCAGAAAAAAAAAGGGGGGGGGGGGGGGGTTAGGTCACAAAAGAGCAACCCCAACATGATTGACTAGTGGCCTCGAGTTTGTGAGTTACAATGCTGCTGAGCTGTGTTTTCAGCTGAGTTGAGTTTGAGACGATCTCCTGCCCCCTTTTTTCTGTCTTCTTACACTTTTTCTTTCAAATTTTATTCCCAGTCTCAGGATTTTGCATCACGTACAAACTAAACCTACTATATGCCAGCGTCACATGGGCGGCGTTCAATCGAATTACTACCAGTGTGCAAGGGGTTAGGGAGGCAGTTTTCCAGATAGCTTCAAGGTTTTTCTGAGCCTCAACCACCTGCCTGCCCCTGGCTGTTTCGAACTGGATGAGTGTTGTTAAACAGTGCGTTCGTGTGATCACTACTGCGTGGTGCACGTTAAAGACCCCCCCGGGCTGGCGCTCACAATTACTGATCTATGGTCACACGTCACTCTGCACTGGCAAATATATTCCAGCATATTCGGGATGCTCATTGTCTCATTTAATTGCCTGACCAACTTCGCGCAAACTAAATATCACACCCGGGCTTTTGTAAACCTGATTTCTAGAAAATCAGTGAGGCGTGAAAACATTATTTGAAACTGAAACTGTGGAGGAGCATGAAAACCAGACTTCAAACTTCATGCACTTAGACTAAAAAAAAAAAATCAAAACTTTCTAAGTTTTTTTTTTTTTTTTCGAATTTAGTTTTAAAAGATAATTGAAACCTTCAAACTTTTCAAACTTTATGTAGAAAGAAATTCAAAATATTTGAATTTTTCGGACTTTAGATTTCAAGAAATTCAAAACTTTTTATTCTCTTTAATTTCAAGTTAGGAAAGTTCGACATCTTTGAATTTCTCGAACCTCAATTAAAGTAATATTCAAAATAATCGAACCCAAACTTTTAGAAACCGTGAAAGCTTCAAACTTTTCGAATTCGAATTTCCAGGGTGTTTTAAAGTTGCGAACTTTTCGAATTTGAACCGCGGTACGGTCGAAAATGTTGAAATCTTTCAAATTTGAACCTCAGTTCGGTTCGAAAATATCAAAACCTTTCGAAATAGAACCTAGGGTGGTTTGCGGCATCCCTAATTTAGTTTCCGTCTCTCGTAACTCGTGGCCAGAACATGCCATCCAATTTTCTTTCTCTAGCTCGTACCGCCAATGTTTATCATACTCATGGGCCTGGATTGGCAATGCTTATAGCAGTGGTCTTAACCACTACTGATTCGGGAATCCGTTCTGGGTCAGTTGAAGTGATAGGGGACCTCTCCACCAGGGGGGGAGGGGGGGGGGGGGTTAGTGGGCTATTACAATAACAAAAGTTTAAATCAAGGAAACTAATTGCATGCAGACCATCTTTAAAACTCTGTTAAAAAGAATAATCAAGCAAACTCTCTCCATGCACATAGACAGCCAGCATCAATGAAGAAGGCTTGATTGACAGTTGAGGTCTTCAAGAGTCCCAAGAGGGCCTTCAGCATGGTATGCGGATGCGGACCCCCATTTGAGATCCACTGACATATAGTACTATGTGCTCAACACCATATATTGTCATAGTCTGTTAGAGCTTAAAGGGATACTAAATCAAAATTATAAATATACAAGAAACATTCAGAAATAAGTTGAATAGGATCGATAGTGCCTGTAAATGATAACTGCACGCTTGTATTTTGAGTGGACGGCTGTAGTTTTTGTCCTTAATGCCAGATTTCGGCGAGTGCTTCAAAGTGAGCCATCGGAGAACAGGATGTGTCTCAGGATTTCTGCTGTGCCAGGATGCGCCCCATGACATCATCAGATTTCTTGGGGTCAAGCTTACCGTTGTTGTGAGCTTTGCCACTTGGCAACGTTGACATGTTACAACCTTGCCTTGTCAGGGTACCCCATGACTGAATTTCCGCATGACCGCACCATCTCCACCGCTTTCGTGGTGCTCGCTTTGCAGGCTACTTGCAGTTGTGTGTTAGAATACCACATCGACACGAGCATGATTACTGCAATGATGACATGAGTCATCTATGCCAGCTCCAACTTGCTTGCAGCGAGGTTGCAGTCAAGTGATGCGATTATTCAGTCAAGCCATGCTGTTGTTTGGTTCACGTACTGCTTTAGCGTCTTTGCACTACTTTCATAGTAAAGTCTTCACTAAGAAATATGACTGCCACACAAATGTGGGATACGATGGACGAGCAACACGGACAATTTTGATAGTTCCTCCTCGTTTGCAAACTGGTGGACCACTCTCCTGCAGCATATGGCGTCTTGCTGTAAACATACAGAATGATTGCAAACAGGTGACCTGTTCACGAAGCAAATAATCTTTTCGGGGGGGATGGCCTCCAGGCTGTCAACTTCATCAACGCGGGAACGGCTCTACGATGCTTGTTGACGCAGTCCAGCGTGGCCTACAACGGTGGCATCCTGCATTCTCTACCGATCTCTCTCGCTCGTACACAGGCCCGATTCGTATGCACTAGTGTGCCCTACTCCCGCAGTACAATGCTGCTCTTACGGGGCCAATGACGACAGGGCCCCATAATCGTTTAACGTGTTTTAGAATACATTCTCTTCTGTTTTCCAACTAGCGACTGGTGTTTCCAGCGTCTTTGTATTCAATAGCTCATATTTAGGCAAAGAAATAGACCATAGAATTTCGTTCTCGTACCCCTTTAAGAAAAGCACAACGAGCCGCTCCACCCTCCCAGAAAGTTCTCTTGCTCGCCGTGATTGGTTGTTGGCTCCTCTCCAGCCACCCCCTCTCCAGCATTTGCTCTGCTCAAGTGGAAAGAGTGGAGGGTTTTGTGGGGAGCAGCTTGTTCTGCTATTCTTAGCCTGCAACGGACTATGGAGTTTTGCGACTTCCGTCACTGCAGATTGTGAGCCTGAACACTTGCCGTCGAATCTATCGTTACGGAGTACAAGCCGACTGGTTCTGCATTGCTCGACCCACATTTGATGCGCCCGACACCTTTCGGTACCTGCATAAGGCTCTCCAGAGGAGAAATATTGAACTTTTGCTGTGAAGTTTGAACCCATATTGCTTCATGGTGCCCTTAAAAAGAACACTAAACATAGGAATAAAATTGTGTAAAACAAAAAAATTTGGCACAATACTTGTGCCATAATGCGAATTTTTCGGTTCGCGGGCGAAACCGAAACTTTCCCCTTGTGGAATGATGATGATAGCGTTTGTACCCAACTTGTGTGCGCTCCGAGTTCTCCGGACTTAGAGCACGCACTAGTTGGGTACAAATGCTATAACCATCATCATCCCAGAGGGGTAAAGTTTCAGTTTTGCCCACAAATCGAAAAAATACAAATTTGTGGCAAAAATATTGGCCAAAAAAAATTTTTTTTTTTAAATATTTATTTTGAGACATGCCTTTCTACCCAGGTACTTAAAAAATGTTTTCCCTAGGTTCAGTGTTTTTTCTAAGGCGAGCTCCAGCAAAACATTGACCGTCATTGATTTTTTATAAAAATTTCACCGTGTACTAAATATCCACTCGTGAGTATATCTATGAAATAGTTAGTCAAAATATTAATTTTCTTTTAAGAAAATGAATTTCTTAAAGTCTATGTGTTCACCTCCGAAGCTCTTGCTGCCACTCTACTGGCAGCAATGAGCAGGGGCGCTTGTGATGTCAGACGCTCTATCCGAGAGCAGACGACGCGACAACCTTCCTACTGCTTCCGATGCTGGGCGAAACAGGCTCAAGCTGCCCATGTGCTGTTGTTTACACAACGTCCGTCATCGCAACAAATGGCAGACTAGTAAAGTTGCAGGTTAGTTTCGGTTCTATCGTAATCCTACGATTAAATTTATTTAAATAGCTTTTGGGGAGATTTATTTGCTGCTTTAGGCTGTTTCTTGCGCACTTCCGGGAAATATGTTTACTGAAACAACTTAATTTTTGCAAGGACCCGATTTTCGCAAATTTTGCGAATCGCCTACGATTTGCAAAAAAGTAGATTCCGCGAATATGTTTCCCCTTGGTAGTAAATACCCAGCATACCACCCTGATTCGTGAAATTTCGAGCCTGCAAGATATTCTTAAATACCACACCTTGCCAAATTCGTGAAGTATTAAGCCTGCGAAATGAAGTCATTTACGGCACTAGTTCAAAACGTTCAAATGGATGCCGGAGCTTCCTTTCCTTTAAGGCACTTGGAGCTATCAGCAGAATTAGGTAGAAATATGTGCATTCATCCTGCATCACTCCGACGCCGTTTGAGGAGCCTTTCAATGACTCTGTCACGCTTTGACTGCGTCGCTCCTTGTTTGCGCTCCTCTTCTTTTTGGCCTCATTTTCATTTTGTAAGGATGACTCCTAATCATTATTTTGTCTACATGCGACGCAAAATATTTAGTCTTGGCAAAGTGAGCCTCGGACGTATATTGCAAGGTACACCACCTCATGCAAAAATACATGTCCACTTGCAGTATGTGCAGTCCAAAAAATCTTTCCAATCAGCAGTACAATTGAACAGGGCGAAATTTGGTTGTGGTGAACTCCTAAAAACTTGGGGTTCGAGAATAAAGTAAACAGTGTAAGTGACCTGACAAGCCCTTCCCCAGCTTTGTTACGAAGAAGGGGGGTGGGAGCGAGGGAAACAAACAGCTTGTAAGTCAAGCGCACATCCAAATACTTCACTATAGTCGGTGGCAGGTCAAGAGTTCGAGAGAAGCTCCTCCCACCTTTTTTTCACTTCAGCAGAGTAAACGCTAGAAAGGAGGTCGCCTTCTCTCCAGTGTTCGCTCAGCAAATCTGGGAACCGATTAGAGGAGTTTCCCTAAACTTTTAACCTCTCACCGACCTTAGGAGAATTCCATCCTATAATGCACTCCTTTGTTTTAGACAGTGCACCCAGAGCACCAAATCCTCCCCTAGCAGTGGGGGGCACCCTGCATTCGGGAGAAAGAATGCGTATCGTGTCATCCACGCTTTTGCGCTCCGCCGAAGGGGAGGGCTGTTGTCGGCGCACCGAGATACTGGAATTCGCCAAGACAGCAGAGACAGTAGCAACTGTGGCCGCCGTCTCAACAAGTCTCCAGGGCGATACGTGCCTCCCCTTCGACTCAAAACAGCAGCCTCCCCCCCTCCGACTCAAAAGGGAATATCTTGATGCTTCGCACGTCCAGTCGTTCCAATTACACAAAGTCTGTTGGCATCGAAGCTATTAAATTTTCAAGGAGCAAGATGTATTCCCCAGTAAAATATATTATATTTCCACCCCCCCCCCCCCCTTTCCACCCTTACCCTTCCCCTTTGCATTTACGCTTATTCGCGACTCCAGCAAAACGGACGGCACCTAGCGGAAAAACGTTGAACTGGCCGGAACAGGTCCTTTCGCAATTTCTGCTCGTCTCTTGTGCCTTCCGTGATTACATGTTGCCAGTGGTTTGCTTGATAGAACAGTATTCCCGGTGCCTTTGTTGTAAATGTAGTATCAGCTTTTTGCCCAGATTACTCTGAACGCTACCTACGTATTCGCATGAACCAGACATTCCGCATTTATCAACGTTCATCAGCAGGAAGAACAGTAGGCAGTCCTTTCATCACTTCGTTGAAGAAAATCAAGTCTGGAAGCTCGCTTATGCCAATGCATCGCCGCAAGTTTGAAATGGGGAGGATAAAAATCGGGACAAACCATGTTGAGTCCAATGCTTGCTTGCTGATGCGCCAGCATTGTGCGCTGGGCTGGCACATGGCATGGTACAACCTGTTTTGGAATGCCATATTTGCCCGGTGGTGGCCTCCCCTATAGGTCTCTGCACTCACAAATAGACATTACCTAAAAGAGCTCTCCGGCCGCCATTTTGCGACTTGGGCAACCCCTATCAGCCGTAAATTTCTGCCACCTCCCTGAACTGTAGAAGCCTGGCTGGCGCGACTCCCGACCTGCATTGTGCATTCGGAGGTCGCCCGCCTTTCTAATTTTTACTTTACTTGCCCATTCGAGATGCTTACCCTTTTTTTATGTTATCTTCTACTGTGAGAACCAGAAAATACCAGGGCTCGTAGGCTGCTCGGCTCTCGCGGTAAACGAACGGAATGAGCGAACGTAAAACAGCTCGCGACAGGAGGCCGTTCGACGTCTTTTGAGAATTATTTCCGTTGAGATGATCTCCGAAAAGCCTTTCCGGCTGCATTTCGGTTTTCGCGAAAAATAGCTGATCAGCTTCAGGGTAGGGGACGAAACAGACACGCTTGTTCCTTTGGTGCTGTGCAAAAAAGGCAACTCTCTTCAAAACATGCCCAAAGACAAGCCGGATTCCATCCGATCGTCGTGAAGTGACTGTTGTTGACACTCTATTGGGTATGCTGTGTTATATTTGAGATCTCTTTCGAATAAACCCTGTTCAGATAACGCGGCACTGTGGAGTACATACTGTATGTTGTTCGATTGACGAGACTTTGAATTTCATATTGTGAGTGGGGAATACCCGTGTTTTTCGGCTATCTTGTGTGGTCAAATATTTTCGACGGTTGAGACCTTTGTGGATTCATACAGCCGAGTGTATGGCATCGTAAAAGAAAAATTCAACACTTTCTCAAAGGCCTGGAGAAATTCCACTCGTCAGAAAGCACAAAGGAGACAATAAAACGTGGCAATTAAGCCACCACCAGTGTCTGGAAATGTGCCTATGCAGGCTGCCACAGCCCACTGACAAGAAAACTCACAGCCCAGCGTGGTGGGGCAACACTGACATACACTCTCAAAACCAGGAATGCGCGCTGTGAATCGCTTTGTCCGAGACTGCTGTTCGAAAAGCCTATTGTGGACGGTTTTCTTGTCCTTAAACAAATGTGGCCTTTTCCTTTTTTTCATTAGACACTAGAAGAGGAAGAGAAACGTGGGGGAACCCAGTTTTAAATCAGTGGTGCTGGGTATGTTGTTTAGCCCTAAGCAGGGGCGTAGCCGGGGGGGAAGGGAAGGGGGGGGGGAGGCTGGCTTATGAAGCTTGAGCCCCCCCCCCTCCCCCCGAAAAACATTCCTGGCTATGCCACTGGCCCTAAGGAGTAAAACTCTTACTGATGGCATCCATCGTAATGTAATCAACTGCCATGTTTATTACGCCACACATTCTTTTTGTTGCTATATCTAAATGACTAGCAACCATATGGCATGTGGCATTAGTCATGCATTAAAAATGACTTCAGCTGACATGACAGCACCCGCCTACAAATGGGCATCACTAACCCCACCGTAATCGCGGCAGGTTGCATTTTCCACTCTTACCGGAGTCTAAAAGATGACACGATCTGCTGGTTTTGTAATGGGTTTACTTCATGTCACGGTTTAGTATCATTTAGAAACATAAAAACCTTTCACGTGATGAAAAAAAAAAAGGTCACCGTGTAACAAAGTAAATTCCAGAACCCCACAATGTTGGGTTGGAGTTTGTGAGTTGATGAACGTATTTATGTACACTGTTTTACACACAGTCTGGCGTTTCCTTGTATTACCTTACTGATACAAGCACCGACGCACATCTTTGTGACACTCGTTAATACTGAGCTTTGAAACACAAGGGCAGTGTTTAAGCGCAGCTCAGCTTGCTGTTTTTTTTTTTCACCACTGAAGTTGATGTCGTGTAAAAAACGAAGGTCCATGCTTCCTTCACTGACGCATGCTCCTTTAGTTTACATGAAAAATGTTGTTTGATGGATGTTGCAGTCTCGAGCACACAAAAGAGGGAAAATTGGCGGTTTTGTTTGTAGTTACTGAAGTCATCTGTGGGTTAACCCTCTCGTCACTCCAATGCTGATGGCGTCTGACGCTTTGGGGGTTTAGCAGAGTGTCGGTGATTTCAAATCGGAAGTTTAGGGACATCAAAGTTCACGTTTCGCCCGCTAGCTGCACTTTGGGTTCGAGGGTTCCAACGCCCCTCTTCGATTTTCGTGGTGGTGCCACCTCGATGGTTATGTCTTCCTGCTCCTGGTTGTTGTTCTCGATCCTGACGGCGGACTCCACCGGCTCGTCGCGTTTCTCACGCTCTTTCTGCGCCTTGGGGCCGTTGGCCAAGCTCGCAATCTGCTCCTCGACAGTCTTCACCATGGCAGAGTTTGGCCTGTTTCTCATGGCCAGTTTGTTACTTGGTGTCTTCTGGCGCCGGTGCGGCATGGCATACTTGAGCTTCTCCCAGAACCAGCGTTCTCCCCAGACCAGGTATGTCTTGGTCGTTAGCAGAAACTTGAGCTCCTTGTCGAGTGTCTCTTTGGCCGGAAGCTCACCGCGGACGATCACAATGAGCCGATCGACTCGATCCTCGAGCATCTGGTAATAAGCCGTGTGGAATTCGACCTGGAACCAGACGCTCTCGAGGAAGTCCTTGGACACCACGAGGATTGTCCTCCGACTGTTTTGCACCGAGTTGACGATGTTCCAGCTGATGTTGTAGCCCGGAAGCCAGTCGCGTTCGTGGATGCACAACTTGAACATTTCCTCGTTGCTTTCGAGGCTGTTAAGAAGACCCATGGCGATGTCGCGGTCGGCACTGCTGTAAGACACAAATGCGTCGTATGTCTTGTCCTCGTCTAGGTCTTCCTCGCTGAAGACGCAGACGAACACATTGTGGAAGTGGATGTACACGTATGCAATGATAGTCTGCCGGTTCCGGTAGTACAGCACAGACACAACCACAAGGAGCACGGCAAGCACAACACAGATTGCAGTCACGGCAGCAAGCTGCTTCCTTTGCGCGGAGTCGTCCACGGGGCAGTACGCAGAGTCTGGGATCTCGTTGATGAAGTAGAGGAAGTGAGTGTCATTGAAGCGCACTCCGTCCCCACAGGCGATGTCCGGGTAGTCCTTGACCATGTAGACATGCCCACGGAGCCAGGTCTTGAACGAGAAAGTCGAGCAGTCGCAGATCCATGGGTTGCCACTCAGCGACAAGCTGAGCGTGCTGGAGCTGTTCGAGAGCATACCCATGAGTTGTGGGGTCAAGGAGCGCAAACGGTTGTTGGTGAGGGACAAGATCTGCAGCCTTCGGGGCATTGTCGTGAGGTCCAGATTACTGAGGAGGTTCTCGTCGAGATAGACCTCTGTAAGATTTTCCCACCTGGGTGCACTAAGGTTGACAAGGGAAGAGATTGAGTTGCTCTGGAGGTAAAGAATGTTGGTGTTAGAAGGGGAGGTGGATGGCAGGTCGGTGAGGTTTGTCCCCCTGCAGTCCAGGTGCGTTGTGAGGTCTTTCCTCCGGAAGAAGCAGGAGCAGCCTTTTGGACAGTTCTCTTTGATGGAGCAGATGAGCTGTCCTGGCTCTACCGTGAGGAGGCTCTTTCCACTGAGACTGCTCGGGTCGTGGCACTTGTAAGATGCTGCGTTTTTAAACAGGGCAATTTCCTTTTGGTTGCTATCCGACAGGTACCTGATGAAGTCGTAGATATGACAGTTGCAGTCGAACGGATTGTTTTCAAGGTGGTAGTAGTGCTCGGAGCTTGTGTCGGTGTAGGCTTTTTCTTTGGTTTCAAACTTCTTGAGTATTTCTAATTCGGTCACCTGCACCGCTTTTATCTTGTTGGAGCGAAGGGACACCTCCGTGTTATCAGAGATCAGGTTCGGGACCCTGAAGTAGCTGATGTTGTTGTGGTCTAGGTTGAGCTTCTCCAAAGCCAGGTAAATGTCCCAGTTGATGTCGGGGAATGCTAAAAGGTTGTTCCTTGACAGGTCAACACGCTTTAGCCGTTTGTTCAGGCCAAACGGAGAAGAGCCTTGGAGGGCTGTGAGCTTGTTGTTGGCAAGTTTTAGGTCTTCCAGCTTCTGTAGTCTCTGGAATGTATCCTGCTCTATGTTTTCAATGAAATTGTGCTCAAAACTGATTACTTTTAAACTGATGAGATTGTCAAAGACACCTGCCTTGAGGTTGACAAAATTGTTCTTGTAGAAGATGAGTGTCTCAAGCACAAACTGTTTTTCAAATACCGTGAGCGGGAATTCGGTCAAGTCATTGTAGCTGAAATCCAGGGTCAACAGCTTGGTGTTCTCTCTGAAGATGTTAGCAGGAAGTGATGTCAGTCTGTTGTTCGTCAGTCGCACTGTCTTTAGATTGGTTGCATAGGCAAAGAACTTCTCCGGGATGCTGGTGAAGTTGCAGTCGGCAAGTGTGAGATTCTCCAGTCTGTTGAGGCCTGTCAGCAGCCGCTCTGGGGGAGACCCAAGCTTGTTGAGCATGCTGAGATTCAACTCCCCCAACTGACGGTTGTTTTTGAAAAGGACGTCAGGCAGGGAAAGGAAAGGGTTCCCACCAAGCTTTAGGTTCTCCAGATTGGTCAAGCCTGACAGGTCGTCAGCAGTGATATTCCTCAAGCGGTTTGCCAGAAGGTCAAGATTCTTCAGTGACGTCATATTGGCAAAGACACCTTCCGGCAGTGCCGTCAAGTTGTTTTTGTACAGATAAATGCTTACAAGCTTGTCAAGCCCTTGAAATTGACTAGGATGAAGGCTGCTTAATGCGTTGCTGCCCAGCTGGATGCTAGTGGCATTCTTCAGTGGCCAAAACAGCTTTTCTGGAAGATCTTCAAGTCCATTGCTGTTGAGCTCCAAGTTGACGATGGTCGTCAGGTTCACGAACGTATCTTCCGGAATCTGCCGCAGCTCTTTGCTGCCGCTCACTGTGAGCCTCTTCAGTGTGTCCAGTCCTCGGAAGATCTCGCCGTCTAGCTTGTCCCCCACTTGGCAGCCGACGAGTCGCAGCGACGTCACCTTAAGACCGTCTAAGACGTCCGCGAAGGAACCGTTCGGCATCGGGCAGTAGTGAAACGCGAACCGTTCCACTTCACCGATGCTTAAGTTCTTGAAGAGTCCAGGAAAGTACGGGGCCCCGGAGTCGCACTGCACCCGGACGATGTCATTGATGGCGTACTCTATGACAAACGCCTGCTGCGGGCCCATCTTGTCCACGGCGTCGTAGCAAGACAGGTGCCAGCCGCCGACGTCGTCGTGGCCGAACCGCGAGTCGCACTCGCACCTGTGGCCGGGAATGGTCGGCACAGGGTCGCAGGGCAGCGACGTCCCCACCGGGACCAGAAGCGCCAGGGTGACGAAGAAAGTCCAACGGCCCTGCCAGACCCCGGCCGCCCGCCGGCCATGGTGCATGTTGGGGCCACCTGCGGAGAAGAAGGCAATCGCAATGTCGGACAAAGCACCTTCATTCAATTTAGTAGAGCAACAGGCGGCGTGCGATCCACGTACTATCATCGTCTCCCAGCCTCAATGATAATGATCCCGCACGCTTTTTCACGTGCCCAAATCAAACATATTCCGTAGATCAAAACAAACACCACATTACATCCCGCCATGAGTGGCAGTGTGTCCAATCAGGGCAGCCGGAGTGAACTACGTCAGTCCCTCTTGGCCAATGGAAGCAGAAGCGAGGAGTAGTTTCGCACGCTGGCGCGAAGTATTCGAAAGGGAGCTGATACACGATGCCTGCATTTTCGACAATCGCGAACGTCAAGCGCCGGGACCCACTTTTCTTTAGAGTCCAAGGTACGCTGAAGGTGCGCGGCTTTGTCAGCACGTCGTCGTTGGTAGCGCTGTTGGGAAAGTTATGTCTCTACCGCTGGAGCTACTGATTGTCTGCGAACAGGAAACCGCGTCTGGTCCCCATCGCAAAAAGATGAGCCACCGAAGGGGAGTAAAGAAAAGAAAGAAAGATGAACCTTGATGATTTGAGTTGCGACGGCACCCGTTCGGGCACCGCCCTTGAGGGCGTCCCTCGACGATTCGCGGGCTCGGTGCCAGCGTGTTCTGTGTAAGATGATTGCTGCCTCGTCTGACAAGCGAGGCGGCAATCGTGGTTGTGCCCCTCTCTGTGTAATCGGGATATGCGACGTGAGGCCGGCCTATCGGGGACCTTGACTTTGGTGGGGGAAAAAAAGCTGACCAGACGGTTGGCGGGACTGTGGGGGGCCGTTTTGCAGACATTGCAACCGTCAGCTAATGGAAGGTGCAGTACGCTAGGGGAGGCCCCTATCTTCTTACTCTGGAAGAGATTGCGGCCGAAAAGATTAGGGTCTCTGCCCTCCTCGCGCTACACAGAAGATGACACACCGCAGAAGGTGAACAACAGTGTTCATTGGGCGAGCTTCCGAAAAAGGGGAAACTTTGCCGTGTTTACCCCGTTGCCTAGACGAGCGAAACGAAGACGCGTGTGGTATTCTTGGACCCAGGGGCTCCTTTGTTGTCTATGTATACTCCGTTTCCATTTAAGTTGAACCGCAGCCAACGTCACAATCCGATGTAGCCAATCAAACAGCACTGAAAAAGCAGTGTCACACTGCGCTGGTCATCTCTGTTCGATCGTTATCATCAATTAAGCCAATCACCCACAGTAAATGTAACGGAAATCTTCGATTTTTATTGTTGTTTTGCCGTGCATGTTTGGTACGCGGAGAGCAGGTCGTCTGCTTTTTGCGCAGGAATTGCAGTGACGTCAGAAGGATGCCGAGCTCTGATTGGCTTTGATTAGAAGGATAGTGGGTAGGCCTCAATGCTAGATGCCTCGAGGTCTGTACCCACTATATTTTTCAATCAACCAATTAGAGCTCAGCGTTCTGGCATCGCCGCAACCCCTGTTAAAGAAGCAGACGAACTTGCGCTCCGCATAGCTGGTGCCAGCGAACGCGGAACTACGTTGAATGCCTCGCTGTTTCAGCCGACTATTGGACGATGTGCCTACTGCGCTGCGTGTCGGTGACTGGTCACCTTGCAACGAATGCGTCGAAGGTGGTGAAACCTGTGTGCCTTATCGTTGATTTTGCCACCGGCGCGTTTTTTCAGCAGCCCCCCTTTGTGTCTGTGACCGATTATCGGCCGGTAGAAAACTTGTGACCGTCGATAATATGTAGATTACGCGAGCGCTTCGCCAAAAAAAAGTATCCACTTACTTCCTCGTCGTGGGGTTACACATGTTTCTGCAAGGGCGATGTTTGCCTAAGCGGCCGTTTTTGGGAAGCGTGGGCTCACCGATAGTAGCAAAATCTGACACCCCCGCCCCCTGCGGCGACTATCTCGCCGGACGATGGTTTCTGGACGTTGGGCAAAGAACCGGCTCCTCGAGCTTTGTTTGGGGCGAGCTTCGTCGCTTGCTTCCGTTTTACGATGGAGCCGACCATGCGGTGCATCGTCGCGGCGCTGGTCGTCTGTGCGTTTGCTGTGGCCGGTTAAACCATGACAATGCACTTTTGAAGCCGCTTAATTGCCTCCATCGTTTCGTGAGTGACATACGGTGGAACTTTATGTTAACCGACGGGCCACTCGGAGAAAATATAGTAATAATAATGCTGATAATAATAGTTCCTTCACAAGTCCGCACCAAGGTACAAAAATCCGCCTCACAAAAGCACTTCCGTGCCTGTGCGTGAGAACGGGCAATCCATTCAAATACGCATGTTTGTAAAGAAACAAAAGACATAACAATACACCGCTGATTTAGTCTGTACTCGCCATTCAATCTTGAACAATAGTTATAAGCCGGAGCTTAATACTTAGAATCCTACAAACATTTTCTTCAAACCTCTATTCCGTATGAGAAAAAGAAAGAAAGAAACATTTGGCTATGTTTATTAAAACTTAAACAGCACAGAATCCTACAAACGTTTTCTTCAAACGTCTATCCCGTATTAGAAAAAGAAAGAAACAAAGCTACGTTTATTAAGACTGATACAGCACGTGCGAGGTATAGCACAAAGGAAACGGTAAGAAAATCGTAGAAGTGATCCATACACTAAAATAATCGCAAACAACAAAAGGGCAGTCAGGATTCCCACAAATGACAAAAGCGAGCACGAGCTATGCGAGGGATAACGTACAATGGCAATCAATAAGCCAACACGTTTAATCAAGTTATCCACATGATAATCTGTAGGTAATTATTCGATATTGTACTAAGGAAGTGTGAAAAACGCCTTGAGATTTCAATTCCGCGTTTATCTGGCACTAAGCAGAAGGTCGCGAGAACGACCAGTTAACCTTCAGGTACCTGTGTACACAGTTACCCCACTTCTTTTTTTTGTAGATTTTTAGGAAGTTGGTTGAAGTGTGCGGGCACATAAAATTTGCGGAGCCTAGCTTTATAGTTAATAGATATTTTCGGAATCTGAAATGTCTCCGTTTTTCTCAGTTGCCTTTGGCTGTGTTTATTTTGTACTCAAATGTAAAACAAGAACTCGTTAAAAAAAGAAAAAAAAATTGCGCAGTTTATTTCCTGTCAATAAGTTAAGTTCTGCCAGCTGTTCTTCAAACACCAGGTTTTCAAAAGCTGGGTTCCTTACGCCCCATCAGTTTTATTAGAATGTTTATTATTTTTTTTTGAAGCTGGAACAGGATGCATAAATAGTAATTCCATGTCTATGTTTTGATTCTGCTAACATTTGAAAAACTATTCGTAGTACTGATATCCGCGGAATTCCGTAATCTGTATTATTAGGATGATAATATTCGTAAATGCTTAATTAGATACTGTTCATGTAAATCCCACGACAAATACTCGTCGGAATACATACCCTGATACTTTGTCTCTGCTGCATATGAAGGTGGTGAGCAGCCGCACTGAGTTCATTGACTTGTATGCAAAGCGATTAATTTTTTAAGGTTAATCTGTTTTTGGTGCGTTGAAAGCACATTAGCTGCGTTTTTGGGTGGTTAACAAAGATATGGCGTTTAGAAAACTGTTCATTACCTCGTTGATGTCATTCTGCGTAATTTAACCTGCTGTATTATAATTTTCATTTGCCGCAACTAATGCTGTATCGTCAGCAAATTGATAAAAGTTCGATTTTAGGGGGCAATAAGGCTGGATTGTTCACCTAAATGTTAAAAAAAGCATAATGCCTAAAACAGATCTCCGACGCACACCGCTTTTGTCAAGTCAAGAAATAATCCAAGCACTACATTATTAATTTTTTTTTTCATTTATGAAATTTGTTATGTCTTCAAGTAAAAGAGTGCTGCTTATATTAATTTAAGACAAAACCCCGATACTGCGGAAAAGACGCAGGACAACACACACGCAAACGAAGCTGAAACAAACACTGCTTTGTGTGTTGTGTTGTCCTTCGTCTTTAGTCTCGGGGTTTTGTCTTAAATTATGTTAAACGTTGACCAGCTCGTTTGCGCCCAAACTTTTTGTTCGTATACTTAAGTGTTTGCCGAAAACCACGCTGAGTACTGCTAATTAGTGAATATTCGTCACAAAACGAGGTCATGACTTAGAAAACAAATTTTGTCATTATCTGCGGGATGACAGACCCAGAGCCCGATGGGCCTGTAGTTGCTTAACTCCTTTTTGCCTCTTTTTTATATATATATATATATATATATATATATATAAATAGGCCGGACCATTGCAACTTTAAGCTTATCGGGTAGAATTTCTGTCTCCTGAATTCCGTTCATTATTGCCAGCAAAACGTGTTTTAAGTTGTTAAAGTTAATTTGTATGTCTCTTGGTCTTAGTTGATCGTATCCCGCCGGTTTTACGATTGACATACTGTTAATTATATCTTTATGATCCGCATCTGTCATTTATGGCGGTTATGCAGAGTTTTGTGAATTCGACAGGCAATTTTGCATTCTATGTGGTGTTGTTTACTGGCCCACGCAAATCTTGTACGACTTTAGCAAAGGTGTTATCGAAATCGTTACTTAAAGTATCAGAATCGCTGATCAAAGTTCTTCTTCGTACATTCGTCAACGTCGTCTTCAGGTGGTTTTCCTATTACTTTGATTTACAATATTCCACACAGTGCTTTGTCTATATATTTCATATAGAGAAAGCACCGTGCGATTGCCGTCCTTCGGTGAAAATCGGTGATTACCCATATGTTCAACTTCTGAGTGACAAATCGCTTTAGGAAATGCTTTTCGTGGGATTTTGCGCGTTGTTATTCATCCTCGCGAGCCTGGTGTGGTTGGTGCACAGACCGCGCCTAAACACTCGTGTTTGTCTTAAACGTTTTTTTTGTTTTTTTTTGGTGCCAACAAGTAATTTATTTGTAGTCATCGTCTGTCTCTCTTCCGTAGCGTCCGAGAAACCCTTGTTCCTGCGTAGACTAGGGTGTTTGCGGAAGGAATTGTCTATGGGGGAGTTTTCATAGACCTTCCGATGACACCGATAACGATACCCGATGCTCCGCCGACGCCTTTTGCGCCTGCGTCGCATCGTTATCGGGTATCGTCATTAGGGAGTTTTCGTAGACCGCGTTGCCCCCTCCGCTAAGCGTTCCGCAACGAAGAAGTTGCTACTGCGCCTGCGCGCCGATAGCCTTGACTGTGGAGTTCCCGCTATCGTAGCGAGTTGCGGAGGGCCTTGCGGGACGGCGAAAACGATCTACGAAAACTCCCTATTAAGGAGTTTTAGGGAGCCGTGTTTGCACATCCGGTACGGTACAATGGGCCCTCCGGTACGAACTGCGCATGTGCGAGCCTTCTGCGGCAGCGCATGCGCAGTGCGTACCGGAGGACCCACCGTACGGTATGGGATGTGCAAAACCGGTTCCCTAAAACTGTCTACTGGAGGTATCGGAACGATATACTGAAACTTTCTATTAAGTTGGTTCTCGTAGTATACGGGAACTACACAGTAAATTAACTTTTTTTTTTTTTTTAAATAAATAGCGAGTCGATAAAAAAAAAAAAATAGGGTCTACTGAGGAAGCTTATGAACGCTTTGCGGCAGCTGTGCGTGTTCGCCGCCAATAAGCGAACTTCACTTCATCATTACCGCAGCAGGGCGGGTTGTTATTGCCATTTTCGAATCTACCTTGTCCTTCTCCCCAGCACTGGCGTTTGTGGGGAGGATCGTCAACGCCCGCTAAGTGACTCGGCGGCTGGGTGTAGACAAGAGAAGGTCAGCAATGGCGGCTGTAACCTGGCGCTAGTGCAAGGCGTCCATATAATTTTCTCAGTACGGAAGGATATATCTATATCTGTCTCTATATATATATATATATATATATATATATATATATATATATATATATATATATATATATATATATATATATATATATATATATATATACTGCCTTCCGTATATTTCCCTACAAAAAAACGCCCATTTTTATTATTTTTTATTAACGCCTTTGGACTATTTCGCGGTATAATTTGTCAGAGCGCCCCGTCGTTCGGTGCGCGTTAGCGGGAGATGTCGAAAAAACTGTTTAAAAACTCTTGACGGCGACCGTTCATCATTGCCCTTATTAGGGAGTTTTCGTAGACCGCGTTGCCCCCTCCGCTAAGCGTTCCG